TTGAATGGATTGTGTGTCCACATTGCAGGGAGGGAATAGGGAAAGGCTGAGATTTAGATTACTGTAAACTAAAACCCCTGGTGTTCCTTTCGTCACTCTGTGTGCTTGCCTGATAAAGATGGAGCCAGGAAACCACTGTGGCTGGAGGCTGAGGGGCAGAAGCAGGAAGCAAGAAGGAAGGAAAATGGTGAAGGCAGATCACCATGCCACTGCATGCCAGAATGTGTGTTTGTGCAAAGGGAGTGGTAGGGGCCCAAACGAAAAAATCTCTTACACTTTGTAGAATTCTTTATGGTTTAAGAAACATCCTCAGGACTAAGCAGACAGGTGTTTCTCCCACTGTACACATGAGGCCGCGGGAAATTATGGGTTGTGGTCGGGGCGAGGCTGTGGAGGTGTAGCTAGGCGGGGAGTCCAGAACTCAGCTCTTGGCATCTGTGCCATTGGCTTCCCTCAAAGGGAACGAAAGGCCATCCTGGCCCTCAAGAAATACGCCTCACTGAGTAGGCAATTCCCACCAACAGAGCACTTCAGAGCACCCAGGACCACTCGGACTGGTTACTGAAGAGTGACCCTATGGCATCCGCAGCCAAGGCAGGGCAGGCAGGGCAGGCAAGGCAGGCGGGGTGGCCCGATCTAAACAGACATCCTGCAGGAAGGCAACACGGAGTTGAACAAGAGAAATTTTCAAGTGGCAGGAGATATGAGCAAAGGCTGAGAGAGGGGAACAGAGGGTGGTAAGCAGTAGCCAACAAATCGCTGAGGGTCTGCACAGAAACTGGGCTGAGAAAAGTGGGATTTGGGGAGAGGGGCAGGTGGGAAGGCTGGATGGGGCCTTTCTGACGGCGGCAGCAGAAGAATCAGGGTTTGCCACTGCAGAGTGCCTCCCTTAGAGCTATAGGGTTTGGCTGAGGTTTGCAGGGCGGACAGCTGGCAGGATGGTGGCGACACCCCACCCAGGAGGACAGGGCCAGCTCCCGAACAACGGCAATGCACAGCTGAACTTTCCACTGACTTCCAATATACCCGTATCTGTTGTTGAGTGGATGAAGGAAGGAATGAGGGTCAGGAAAGTGAGGAGCCTTGTTGGAGGCGGGGGTGGGCACAAAACCAGCACCAGGGAGAGGTCAGGCTTCTGGCTGCAGAACCAAATGACAAAAGCTGCTTCTTTTTTCCCCTTTCTTTTCCACAACTTGGAAGGTAGAAGTTTCCCAGTCATCTTCCCTTTTTCCTCCCTACTGCCCTGTTCTCCAGGCCTCTAGCCACCTTCCTAGACCTTCCCAAATGAAGAGTAGGAAGCAGGCTCAGTCATCAGCCCTACAGCACTCATCCACCCCCTGCCGGCTGCAGCCTTCTTGTCAGCTGCTCTCCTGTTTTCCCATCTGTCTCTCCCCTTTCCTCACATCCTCTCCCTGCTGCAGCAGCCCATCCTCTCTCCTGCTGCTTCCCCGCCTGTTCCACGCTTCCCTGCCTTCCTGGCTACCCCCACAGACTTCCTGGATGGCTGGCTTGCTCCCAAACCCCAACCACACTACGGGGCCCCAGTGACCTGCCTAGGCCAGAGAAGGGAGGCTGCCAGCCCTCCTCTCTGCTCCCCCAATCCCTCCACTGGCTACCACAAGCAGACCCAGCACCCAGGCCTGGAACTGGTCCCACCATAAAAATAGTCAAAGAAGGAGAGGCAGGCAAGGAAAGGGGCTATTTCCAGGCATCACTGAGCCTGGATGGGGCAGGAGCTTCTCTAACGTGCTGACAGGAAAGCCCCTAGTCCTGGAGCCTGCCTCTCCAGCTCACGACCACCCCAATGCCCAAGACTTTACCAGGTCCTAGGAGGCAGAAGCAGACTTGACCAGTCATCCCACCCCTAGAGCAGGGGCATAGCCCTACTCCTGCTCCCTCCAGGCCCCAGAAAATTGCTCTCCTTTTCCCTGGGCCTGTGGCAAAAGGCAAAGAAATTCCTCTGGCCTTGGGACCTCAAAAGTGTTTCCAGCCAAGACAGAAGGTTAAACTAGCCTCTTTGTAGGCCTCTTCTGACTGAGGCAGTAAAGCCTTGATTTTACTTTCTATTCTTCCTGGTTTCTTGAGTCTGGCACCTATTGAGAGACAGGCACTGGCTCACACACACTCTCCCATTATCTTGTACATACAACCACACACATGCACCCATATGCATGTATCTGTATGCACAGCAAGCATGTATATGCACCCACCCAACCATGCACATGTACACAGACATAGCTGTTTGTATGTAAATTAGCATACACACTTGTACCTATGCATATGCATGCACTACCAACATAGTGAATATGCACACCTTTACCTTGCCACACCACCTCCTGCCTTTGGTCTGTTCCCAGTCTCCAGCTGCCTTCCTCCTCCCTGCACCCCTAGCTCCTACACATCCACTGATCCTGCCTCCTGTCTCCTCCTTGCTTTGGGACCACGGTGAGCTCTTCTGTAGCCTCCCCAGCCCCACCCTCATTTCTAAGTACAGTCAGTTTGCAGTTCCCAGCATGGCAAAACCTCTAGTCACTCTACAAGGGTTCCTGGGTGATGGAAGGGAGAAGATGAGATCATTGTCCTTCTTTGTTACAGATAAAACAAACTGAGGTCCAGGGAGTGGGAATCATATGTCCGCACAAGGAATGGAGACCAATGAATCTAGCTTCCTCCCATTTTGTCTGCTTGGTGCTCTGGCTTCATCAAAGCAAAAAGCCCAGTGCTAAGAGCTGCCGCTGCTGGTCCCACCTCCCAATCCTCCACCACGATGCCCTGCTAATGCCCAGGAATCTTGAGTCCTCTACAGAGTGAAGGGAGGAGAAGAGGGGAAGTCAATTTGGGGTGAGATAGGCACTGGCTCTAACATTGCTCATTTGGCTTTCTGCAGGAGCACTGCCACGGTGGTGGGCATGGCCATGACCCTGGCCCTGGGCACTGTCCTGGGGGAAGCCATCCTCCAGGGCCCTGTGAGCACCCCCTGATACACATCACCGAGAAAGCAGAAGAAACAGGACAGAAGAAGGGGAAGCCTAAGTGGCTTGCCCTGCTGACCTGACATGGAGCCTGAACCAGACTCTTCTCTTCCTAATAAACAGTCTCCTAAAGGCCATGTTTTACTCTTAAAAGAGTCAGTCTTCCCTCACATCCAACCTGGCACTCAGGAACCCAGTGGTCTCTGAGTTCCCTAGCTGTGAGAATGGGGCTACCCAGCCAGGCATCCTCAGAAGCTTGACTCAGTGGTGCCCATAGCATATGCTTGTGTAAGGCCACCTGCTTTCTTTTTCACTTCTGCTTCTTCCCATCAGAGGGCCTAAAATGTGGACTCACCACCTCTACCCCACCATATATACCCAGACCTAGTGGGCCTTCCAAAGTTCCATCTTGCATGCCTCACTCTATAGATCAGAAACCTTTAATGCTGGGTTGTCCAACCTTTTGGCACCTCTGGGCCACACCGGAAGAAGAAGAGTTGTCTTGGGCCACACATTAAATATGTTGCAACATGCAATCACAAAAAAAATCTCAATTTTTTAAGCAAATTTACGATTTTGTGTTGGGCCGCATTCATAGCCATCCTGAGCTGCATGCGGCCCACAGGAATCCCTACTGTCCACATATATTTCTTACCATTCCCTGAGCAGACATTGAACTTTCCAGCTTTTTTAACTTTACACAGTTTCCCACTACCTCCACCCCTACCCCACTCCCAGGTCAGTAATGCCTTGTTTCCAAGCCAGATGAATTTCCACCATTAGCATGATGCCTTCCCTAAAGCCCATTAGGAAAAGAGAGATCCTCTCTCTGCACACTGCCTCCTTCTCTACACCTTATATTAACTCTCACATGGGTGTGATCACACCCTACCCAGTCAGCACCAATTCATGGGCTAGCCTTTTATTTCTCCAACCAAACTACTCAGGGCAGGCCCAACTTCCACATGTCCAGATTCTCCCACCCCCATCCTCTACTGATTTATGTCTTGCAAAGGGTGGTGTCTGCACACAGTTTAGAGATACCTATATGCCAAAAGCTTCTGGGTTCTGACTCCCCAGCCCCATTCTTCAGCCAAAGCACCTCCCTGCACACTCATCCAGTCTGCCTGCTGTGAAACCCTTTCTGCTCATGCAAATCCCAGATCTGGGACCCTCTCCACTCGCCAACTCCCAGGCTTCTCACACTGTCCCTATCTGTTCTAGAGCTACCACAGTCCTCTAGCCAGGCCTGTCCACAGCCCATCACTCCTCCTCTCCTTCATAGTCACTCCCTCACAGGGGAGGCAGCAAGTGCCCTGGAGTAAGTGGCTACTAGGTACTTCCCAGGCTGAAGTGGGGTGATTATTAAAAAAAGGTACCAGGGGTTCCCTGAGTACTTCCCTTCCCCCCCCCCCTCCCCACCATACGCACACTTGAATAACGGAATTGGGGCTCCATGTCTGATGGGAGCAGACTTAGGTCCAGGTCCACATCCAGGTGAAAGTGAAGGAAGACTCAACTTGAGCAGCTGTCTAGACCCACTGGGGAGGAAAGGGGGGCACTGAATGGATCCCAGAAAAATGTGGGACTAAAGTCACCCGACCTGTCGACCCCTCCGTGCCCCGTGCTGTGAAGTGCAGGCGAGGAGCTACTCCGTTTTTGCCACTGGAGTAGTCTGCACTTCAGGTTGTGAGGCTCCCAAACACGATCCCTGGGTTCGTGCTTCCTAGTTCCTTACAGGAAGACTGATACCACTCAGGAAAGGCCAATGTGCAGACTACAGCTAGAAGGCCGGACTTCTAACAGAAGCTCTCAGACTTGGCTTGGTTACAGGGGCCCACACCACCAGCCCGGGGGTTTCTTAAAGACCTCAAGCCTCCAGCTCCCGGCAGCGGCGCCGCGGGAAGCCTCTGTCCCCGCCCCCGGCTCCGCGCCCATTGGCTGGGCTTCTCATCAGCTCCGCCCAGCAAACACGCCCTGCGCCTACGCATGCGCAGAAGCCCTCCGTTGCCACCAATTCAGCACCAGCGCACGGACAGCGGCGCCGCCCACGGGCATGGACGGAGGTAGCTGCAGCAGCGGTAGCGGTCCGGCTCCCGGCCCAGGTCCAGAAGGGGAGCAGCGACCCGAGGGAGAGCCCTTGGCCCCAGATGGAAGCTCCCCGGACAGGTAGGGCAAACCACTCCACAGACCCAGCTCACAGACCTTCCCAGCACGCACGCCCCAGTTATTCCCAGTAGCCGCCATACATCGCCCCTATTCATTCCCCAGCCCCTCTCAGCCTCTTCCGGCGCCTCCATGCTCCCGGCCCCCTGACCACGCCCTTATTCTGCCAAGTCAATTTTCTCTCTCCCTGCTACACCCCACTGTCAGCCCCCCATCGCTCTCATCGCCCCAGTTCTTGCCCCACCCACTGTTCTTATCTTAAGGTCTGGGGTTCCCTCCCTCTAGCCTTCCGAGTCCCTCCCTTTAAGCCCTGCCCCCCACGTCTTCTTTGTAAACCCGTAGCCTGCAGCAACCTCAGGTGGGGTTCCAGTGTGTCAGTGGGCTGGAGAGTGCGTATGTACCATAGACGGAATGTTTGACAAGGTGTGTGTCCTGGGGAGAGCAGATACTCAGCGACCACGCCAAGGACTGTCTTTGTCCATCACCATCAGTCTCCACTCTTCCCTGCATGGCCAGCTGCACACGTGTGGACCAGAGTCCCCGCATGTGGCAGCTACCTGCACTCGCTGAAGACACTAAGGTAGGCAGGCTCAGAGGCTCAGGCTACAGTCAGAACCAAACCTGAAAGAGCCCCAGGCTGGCAGGACAGGAGGAATACCTTCCGGCTGAAGGCCCAGATCTTGGTGCCTATCCTCTCTCTTTTTCCACCATATGTGTGAGGGAACAGCCCAGCCAGGTAGCAATATGGCGCAATTTCTGTGCCCTGCATGGTCTGCCACTTACAGGATCCCTCCCCTAATGTGACACTGCCTTTCTATGCTGCCTGCACTGAAATAAGAGGCATTCTTTAGAGGCAAAAAGCAGAGGTAGACACATGGTCTCCAGACTGCTGCAGTTAAAATGTACATTCTGTACCTCAGAGCAAGAGGAGGCTCCACAAGTGAAATATTGTCATTCCTCTATTGTTAACACCTTAGCCTGGATGGATTTAGTCACTTTTTCTTAGGAAAGGCACAGAGATCTCTTCAAAGAGATGAGACACAGGATTGATATGCTCCCGGGACCAGGGTCGGCCTGGGAGTGTGGCTTGACCAAAGAGCCAGAGGTAGACAGGGCAGGGATGGTAACAGGGCAGAGAAGGGACTTGGGGCCAGAAGCCTCCCCGAAGGTGCTGAAGAGTCATTTGGTTCCTTGGATATTTTGCCAAGGATCAACCCTGACTGGACTGCTCACTTTCCCTGCCCATGAGGGTCATTCCTGGGCACAGGAACCACTTGCTGTCCTTCAAAACCTCCCTGGGACCGCTGACCCCTCTCCACTTCCCCAGAGACCCTGGATACTAATCAGGCAAAGGGACTCACTTCAATTCAAGAACAAATATGCTCCTGCCGAGCTCAGGAGAACTCTGGGGATAGATACACAGTGAAGATGATGACGTGCACATGCACACACATGGTACTTAACTAACACATTGACTACAGAGCCAACTGAGATAACTCATTCTTTGTCTTTAAAATTACCATTTTATTTTCCTAGTAGCATGAGCTGCTTCCCCATCTATCCTGGCCACTCTTCAGGATCACATGCATGTCCATATGGCTATGTGTCTGTGGGCTTGGGGGCAAGGTTAATGCACATGTACATTGTCTCTTGTGAGGCTCCCAAATGGGGGCTCTGTGTCTGGGGCCCTGTCAGCTAGGCCCTGACTGCTGCGACTCTGGCCTCTTAAGGAGGTCTGCGTCACCACTTTCCATTCCCCTGCCTGCCCGCCTCAATCACTAACTTGGCTTACAGGCCAGCAGGTCCAGGCAGACAGCCCAGGAAGTTGATCATCCCAGCGAGAGCCATGGAACTGAGAGGGTGAGAATGAAAGCCCCCTGGGGAGGCAAGGCCTGGACTGCTTAACTCATATTATTACTATGCCTCCTGAGTACAGAGGGCAGCAAGGGCTGGCAAGAGAAAGCTTTTATTCTGAGAAGAGTTTGGCTATTCTCCTTGAAAGAGTGGAGACAAAGGCCCGGTCCTGCAGCAGTCAGAATGTGGAGACTTTCAAATTCTACCATTTTGATAATGATGGGCACAGTCAAAAAGGGTGAGATTTGGAAACAACTAATCCTTGGTCTCTGGAGAGGAAAGAAGGGGTTAAAAGGAAGACTGTGGAGCCAGGAAGACCCCAATAGAAGCAAACCAGTGGTAGAACCTGGAATGCCCCTTGAACAGAAGCCAACCCCTAAGGAAGGGGTTGGACTTTGAGGTTTGGTAGGCTGGTTAAGGGAGCGTGCTCCTCCAGCACCTTCTTAATGAAAAAGAAACTGACACTCCAAGTGGGAGCCTGGCTCCTAGGACAAGTCCAGTGCTCAATGAGTGTGTTAAGGCCGTGAAAAGTTGGACTAGGCACCCTGGTTGCCCCACCCTCCTGACCTCTGGGAGGCAGGCCCAGCTCTACAGAGGGAGGCTGAGACTAATGGGTCATCTTCATGCCTTCAGGATTGAACTCAGACCAAGCACGGTGCCCAACATGTAGTAGGTGCTCAAAAAAGCACCCGCAGAGTAAAAATCTTAAAGAAGTAGATGCTCACACTTATACACATAAACCCAGGCCATATATCCAGCTTCCTTTTGGCCCATGGAGATGGGACCATATGGTCTTTTAACTGCCAGGATCCTGGTCGCTATATCATTAACTATATGCGGTAATCTGAGGTCTTGCTTTAAAACAACATTGGTCTAATTCTCCTTTTTCTTTTTTTTTTTTAATATTGTTTATTTTTAGAGAGAGGGGAAAGGAGGGAGAAAGAGAGGGAGAGAAACATGTGTGAGAGATACAGCAGTCAGTCACAACCCAGGCATGTGCCCTGACTGGGAATAGTACCAGCAACCCTTTGGTCCACAAACCGGAGAGCTCAATCCACTGAGCCACACCAGCCAGGGCTAATTCCTATTTTTCAAAATTCTGAGTTAGTAAAAAAATATAAGTATCAGTGATTTAAATCATGGAATCAAATCCTGATGCAGCTTTTGGATAACAAAAAGGAAAGCATTTATAATTATATATGTAGCGAGATTTTCAAGGTGTGAGAAGTTCTCACATAGAGATTTATGAACTGAGGTGCCTAAAGAGGCCAAATTGTAAATACATATGTACTTTTTAGACTACATGCTCCCTGCAGCACTGAGTGTGAGAAGGGGCAAGAAAGAAAATGTGCCAGGCTCCTCACATATGTTGTATCAGTTAATACCAAACCTGGGAGGGGTCATTATCAGCACACCCTCACACAACAGACATGGATGCCAGTGCCCCAGGAATTGTGTATCTTCCCCGAGGTCCCAGAGCTAAAGGGTCATGGAGCCAGGAGCACACCTCCACCGCTCCCCCCCCCCATTTTATTCTCAGTATAAGGCCATGCTCCCCCGACTGCTGTGCCAGCCAGCCTTCTAGGAGGAAGAGGATGAGCTTGCCCATTCTTTCCAGTTCCTTTACTTGGTCTCTGGGCAGAGCCCAGCCTCTGGAGGCAATGTCCACTTGCACCAGGACTGTGGCCCACAGCCCCTTCAGCAGGGCAGCTGGCGGGACTGGCAGCCAGGGTTGCTTCAGCATACACCTGGCCCTCCCGCAGGAGCTATGCAGCTCTGGTGAGCCAGGTGAGCCAGGGAGATGGGAGGAAAGAAACAGGGCTATGCCAAGGCTGCCCATCTCAGAACCCCTGGGGGTCCCCACTCTGTTCTGTGGCCATGTTCTCCTGTCCTGGGTCTGGCAATCCTATCATGGGATGGGATCCATCTAGCCCTACACCCAAAGGGTGGGGCTGGGTCCATACACAGAGTCCCGCCTTCATTAGTAATTTTGGAAGAGAAATCTATTTCTGACTCCTCCCTAGCAAGTTCCTTGAGGGTCCAAACTCCATCTCCCAACAATGCATACCCTTGCAAAACAAACCTTCCTTCCACAACTCAACATTGGTGGAAGGACAGCAGCAGCCTCTGCCAAACTTTCTCCAACTACCCCAGCCCGGTGAAGGTCGGGCCCTCCTCTGGGCTCCTTCAGCCCTCTAGGACTTGTTCTCTCACAGCACTCAACATGGTAGACTGTCCACATCTCCCACCTACTATGAGTGCCTAGAGGACAAGGACTGGGCCTTCTTTATCCTAGCACCACTATTAGCAGCCTGTCTGGCACTCAGTATTCATTCAACAAACATTCCCTGGGCACCTTCTGTGTGTAAGGCACTGTTTAAGGCACTGAGGACAGAGAGATGAATAAACGCACTGGACCCCTGCTCTCCCATGCTCACATTCCATATGAGAGGCAGGAAATAAACATGACCACTCTACAACATAATGTCCAGGTGTGGCAAATGCTCTGAAGAAATATAAAGCAGGTAGGGGGATGGAAAACTGGTAGGTGATTATTTAGAGAGGGTAGTCATGGAAGGTTTCTCTAAGAAGGTAATAGTTGAACTGAGAATAGAATAAAGAGAGAGTAAGAGCCATGCAATTATCTGGGGGAGCAGCGATTATCTGTAGGGACAAGGGTGCAGCGGGTGCTCAATACATATCGAATGAGAGAATGAACCGACGACTGTAGCAGAAAGAACACAGGACCACAAGTCAGAACTGGGTTCAAGGCCCAGCTCTTCGTATCCCACAGAACCCTGGTTTTCAAATCTATGCACAAGGAAAGTACTTCCTCTGTAGGTTTTTGTAAAGAGTAAATTAGATCATACATGTAAAATCACATTTGTAGCCTCGCACAGTGTCTGGCATGTAAGCAGGCTGCCAATTTTTCTTGGAGTGCATGGGGTGAGTAAGACAACGGACCCCAAGAGGTAGGCAGCGGATGCAGATCCACAGCCCCCACCCTTCTTGCCTCCCCTCTGGGACTGGCGATGGAAAAGTCCTACCAGTGCTCCCCCACCCAGTCTTCCCTGTGTCTTCTCTCCCCAGGTCCCAGAGCAAGGCCGTGGCCCCTGCAGCAAGCCCAGAAAGAAGCTGCTCCCTCCACAGCTGCCCCCTTGAGGACATTTCCAGTTCTTCAGGACCTCCACCAGTGACTTCTACCCTCCAGCCTGTGGGCCCATCCAGCCCCTCGGCCCCTGCCCTCTTCACTTATGCCCGGGCACCACAGGAATACCGGGGTGGCACTTCCCTGCCCGGGCTTGGGGACCGGGCGGCTCTGTGCTCCCATGGCTCCAGCTTCAGCCCTTCCCCAGCCCCCTCACAGCACGATGGGGCCTGGAAGCCGCCATCTGTGCAACACCATGTGGTCAGCGTCAGGTAAGGAGGGGTCCTGCAGCCTGCCAGCCGCCACTGAAAGGTAGGGCAGGGCTAAAAAGTGGGGCCGATCCCCTGGGCTCTAGGCTCCGTGCAGCCCAGGATGCCCCCCGCCTCTGATGAAGGAGGCAGTTCCGGTAGAGAGCTTGGAAGTAAGAATTGTAGCTGAGGTGTGGGAAAGCCTAAAAGGGTTAATGCCATTTTCCTCTACCCCCTACCCCCACATCCCACCCTATAAGAGGACTTTGGCAAGCAGCTATCCTTTCTTTTATTCCACAGGCAGAAGCAGGCCTTCCAGATGCCAAAGAGGTAAGCCTAGGTCTTTTCTTGACCCCTGGGGTACCCAGTCCTCACCCAGTATAGCCCCACCACCCCTTCCAGGTGGCTCTGAGCTCATCTGGCCCCTGCTACCACCCCCAACACCAATTCATGTGGGCTGTCTTCCTCTTTCCCAGCTATTCCCAGCTGATTGCTGAGTGGCCAGTGGCAGTGCTGCTGCTATGTCTAGCTGTCATCCTCCTCTGCACCCTGGCTGGACTCTTAGGGGGCCACCTGCCTGACTTCTCCAAGCCCTTGCTGGTGAGGAGCCAAGGGGAGGGAGGGGACCCCCAGGTCTGGCCACCTCAGCTCCGTGTGGGGCAACAGGTTGGCGTGGCCCAGCTGGGGGTGGGGTGGCAGTGCTGGGCTCTCAGCCTACAGAGCGAGTTGGGAAGATGGTACAGAGGCGACATGCCTATCTAACAATCCAGGCAGGCGAGCTGGCCTTCCCTGTTCCCCAGAGACAAAGGGGCAGAGCCAAGAAGCACCAGACAGAAAACCCCTCCTCCTGCTTGCCTGATCTTCTCGGCCCTCCTCCCTACAGGGCTTTGAGCCTCGGGACACAGACATCGGGCGCAAGCTAGTGGTCTGGAGAGCACTGCAGACCCTCACGGGCCCCAGGAAGCTGCTTTCCCTCTCCCCAGACCTTGAGCTGAACAGGTAACGGGTTCCCGTCTTTCCACACCACTGAGGGAAATGGAAGAGGAAATGAGGCCTCTAGGGACAGACCATTGAGTGACCTCCTTTTAGATCAGTCAGAGGGGCTGGCTGGGGACCTCTTGGGAGTAATGTCTGGCCTCCTCTGAGCACCCCGCCCCTTGATGGTGCCTGGCATTGGTTTTCTCTCTACCTCAGCTCAAACCCGCATACCACTCTGAGCCCCGAACCCTGGAGCAGTGCCCAAGAGGGCATGGTCCGGCCCCGGAGGATGGTGGAGCCCCTGGAGGACAGAGGGCAAGAAAGCTTCTTCTGCGGCCCCCCTGGTAAGCTTCACTTGGCCAGTTCCTGGCTTTAATAGTGGTTCCCACCCCATTACTAGAACAGAAGGACCCAGGAGCACAGATTTCAGCAGACAGAAAGGGAAGGAAGCCAGCTGGCCACATTCAAGCCAAGAAAATTGGGTTGTATCTAGGAAGATGAGTCAGGTCTCAGGCGATCTGCCAGGTAGGGTCAAGCTGGGTGTGGGTGGGCACAGGAGCTGGGATGCGGGCCCAGGACAAGGCAGCCAGGGACAGGTTACAAGCTCCTGAGAATCTGAACCTTTTTTGGCTCTGGGTAAGAATCTTTCCTTTGGTGGGCCCAGGACCTGGGGCCAAAGGGCTGAACTCTGGGGGCTGTGTTGCAGAAAAGAGCTATGCACAGCTGGTGTTCATGTCCACCTCCGCGGGCAGCCTGTGGAACCTGCACGCCATCCACTCCATGTGTCGCATGGAACAGGACCAGGTGAGCTGACTCGGAAGGTACAAGAGGCTGGGTGTGGGGGGACCAGGTCGCCAAGAACCTGATCCCAGGGAAACACTGCTGAGCCATGACTGCCAGAGTGGACGGGCAAGAGCATTCTCTGCTTAGAAAATTATTCCGATGCTGCTGAAAGGCTCCGGGTTGGGGTAGGGAAAGAAGGGTCAGCTGTTTTCACAAGAACCAAAACACAAGTGTTGGAAGACCAACATGCAGAGCCTGGGGATTTCCTAAAGGTACCGAAAAGGAACCTCAGGAACTGCGGAACTCAAGAACTGGCCCAAGGCCCCCCGCCTCTCACTAGACAACCACACACCGTAACATCTGCAGGAAGGTCTGCTGAACACCACAAAGTAGCCCCAGCTGCTCACTTCACACAGGGTACCCAAAGCACCAAAGACACTGGTTAAGAACATGGGCTCCGGAGTCAGATGCCTGGTTTCCAGGCCAGCCCTGGTACTCCCTAGCTGAATTCAGACTGACTACCAGCTGCCCTCCCTCAAGCTGTGTGACTTCAGGCATGTTTCTTAACCTCTCACTGCCTCAGTCTTTGTACATATAAAATGGGGATAAGAATGGTACTTTCTTCATAGGCATGTTGTGACAATTAAGATGGAATGTGTAAAACTATAACACAATGACTGGCAATAGTAATCTCTCAATAAATGTTAAGACTGTCACCATGATCTCAGATGCAAAGCCATACACCCAGTTGGTGACAGAACAGAGCCTGGGGCTCCCAGACAGGTGCTCTGTAACTATACTGGTTGTCGTGATGTCAACAGCAGGTGGGAGAGAAGAGGAGGCAGGAGGTCTGAAAAGAAACAGCCCTGTGCCTGAGAGGGTTTAAACAGACTAGTAGACAGAGGGAAAGGGCTAGTGTTTGGCAGTGACCCTGATCCTGGAATGTTTTGGCCTCCACTTCTCTCACCATTTGCTTCCAGTTTCCTAGACCTTTGACCCTGTTCCATCTGTGGCTGCCACTTCCACTCCTACTTCTGGCTCAGGCAGCATAGAGTTGGGGTGTGTGACCCACAGGGGCCCTTAGGGCAGGACCTCTCAGGCTGGGGCCTTGGCAGCATCTCTGAAGCTCCTTTGATGGAGCCAAGATGTAACTGCTGACACCTGGGCCAAGAGCCAAAAGCAGCTCTGAGACAAGCCCGCTCTGCTAGGCTGTCAGGATACTGCTATGCCTCTGCCCTGCAAAAGGAGGTGAGAGGGCCTTGGGCAGGGCTGGGGAACCCTGGACCTCCTCACTGCCTGCCCGTGAACTCTCTCCTGCTGTCTGTGCCCTACAGATCCGCTCCCATTCCCACTTCGGGGCTCTGTGCCAGCGCACAGCAGCCAAGGAGTGCTGCCCCAGCTGGTCCCTGGGCAACTATGTGGCCGTGCTCTCCAACCGCTCCTCCTGCCTGGATACTACTCAAGCAGACACAGTCCACACACTGGCCTTGCTTCGGGCCTGTGCCCTCTACTACCACCGTGGTGTCCTAGTGCCCTCTTGTCTGGGACCAGGGCAGGATAAGCCCCCACGCTGTTCCCAGGTGCCCACCAAGTGCTCCCGGAGCAGTGCTGTGTACCAACTTCTGCACTTCCTGCTGGACAGGGACTTTCTGAGTCCCCAAACTGCTGACTACCAGGTGCCCTCTCTCAAGTATAGTCTGCTCTTCCTGCCCACCCCAAAGGGTGCCTCCATGATGGGCATCTACCTGGACCGCCTAGCCACCCCCTGGGAGCTCTCTGACAATTACACGTCCATCACCGGCATGGACCTGGGCCTCAAGCAGGAGCTGCTGAGGCACTACCTGGCCCAGGATACAGTGTACCCCTTGCTGGCCCTGGTTGCCATCTTCCTCAGCACCGCCCTCTACCTGCGCTCCCTCTTCCTCACACTCATGGTGCTGATAGGGGTGCTCGGCTCCCTGCTGGTGGCCTACTTCCTTTACCGGGTGGCCTTCCGAATGGCCTATTTCCCCTTTGTAAATCTGGCGGCCCTCGTCCTGCTCAGCAGCGTCTGCATCAATCACACCCTTATCTTCTTCGACCTCTGGCGTCTCAGCAAGAGCCAGCTGCCCTCTGGAGGGATGGCACAGCGAGTGGGCCGCACCATGCACCACTTTGGCTACCTGGTGCTGGTCTCCGGCCTCACCACCAGTGCAGCCTTCTACGCCAGCTACCTGAGCCGCCTTCCGGCCGTGCGCTGCTTCGCCCTTTACATGGGCACTGCTGTGCTGGTGCACCTGGCACTCACGCTGGCCTGGCTGCCCTCCTCTGCCGTGCTTCACGAGCGCTACCTGGCCCGGGGCTGCGCGGCCCGTGCGCAAGGCCCATGGGCCGGCAGCGCACCCCGGCGGCTAGCGCTGGCGTTGCACCGGAGGCTCCGCGGGCTTCGGAGGGCAGCGGCCGGCACCTCGCGCCTACTCTTCCAGCGCCTCCTGCCCTGCGGCGTCATCAAGTTCCGCTACATCTGGATCTGCTGGTTCGCGGCGCTGGCAGCAGGGGGCGCCTACATCGCCGGCGTCAGCCCCCGCCTGAGGCTGCCTACCCTGCCTCCGCCCCGAGGCCAGGTCTTTCGGCCCAGCCATCCCTTCGAGCGCTTCGATGCAGAGTACCGTCAGCAGTTCCTGTTCGAGCGGCTACCTGAGGGCGAGGGGGGCCACATGCCCGTGGCTTTGGTGTGGGGCATCCTGCCTGTGGACACTGGGGACCCCTTGGACCCTCGCAGCAACAGCTCACTGGTAAGTGACCCTGCCTTCTCTGCCAGCAGTCCTGAGGCCCAGCGCTGGCTGCTGGCACTCTGCCACAGAGCTCGGAATCAGAGTTTCTTTGGTGTCCAGCCCGAGGGCTGGCCCACAGTGTGCTTTGTGGAAACCCTCCAACACTGGATGGAGAGCCCCAGTTGTGCCCGCCTGGGGCCTGGCCTCTGCTGTGGCCACTCAGGCTTCCCCTGGGCGCCGCAGCTTTTCCTGCACTGCCTCAAGATGATGGCTCTGGAGCAAGGCCCGGAGAGCACCCGTGACCTGGGACCCCGCTTTGACACCCAGGGCGGCCTGACTGCCCTGGTCCTTCAGTTCCAGACCAACTTCCAGTATAGTCCGGACTATAGCCAGTCTCACCGCTTCTACACTGAGGTCAGCCACTGGCTGGCAGCAGAGCTGCGCAGGGCGCCTCCTGGCCTCCGCCAAGGTTGGTTCACCAGCCAGCTGGAGCTGTACAGCCTTCAGCACAGCCTGAGCACCGAGCCTGCTGTGGTGCTGGGCCTGGCTCTGGCGCTGGCCTTTGCCACACTGCTGCTGGGTACCTGGAACGTTCCACTCAGCCTATTCTCCGTGGCAGCTGTGGCAGGCACGGTGCTGCTCACCGTCGGGCTCCTGGTTCTCCTCGAGTGGCAGCTCAACACTGCCGAGGCACTTTTTCTCTCTGCCTCCGTGGGCCTCTCAGTAGACTTCACTGTCAACTACTGCATCTCCTATCACCTGTGCCCACACCCGGACCGCCTGAGCCGCGTGGCTTTCTCATTGCGCCAGACCAGCTGCGCCACGGCCATGGGGGCCGCGGCCCTGTTTGCCGCTGGTGTGCTCATGCTGCCTGCCACGGTGCTGCTCTATCGCAAGCTGGGCATTGTCCTCATGATGGTCAAGTGCGTCAGCTGTGGCTTTGCCAGCTTCTTCTTCCAATCTCTCTGCTGTTTCTTCGGACCAGAGAAGAACTGTGGTCAGATCCTCTGGCCCTGTGCCCACCTGCCGTGGGATGCCGGAACTGGGGAGCCACGTGGGGAGAAAACAGGCCGCCCACGACCAGGGCCAGTAGGAGGGCAGCCCGGGTCCTGCTCAGAGCAATATGAGCTACAGCCCCTGGCACGGCGCCGGAGCCCCAGCTTTGACACCAGCACAGCCACCAGCAAACTGTCCCACCGGCCCTCAGTGCTCTCTGAGGATCTACAGCTGCATGATGGCCCCTGCTGCTCCCGTCCCCCACCAGCCCCTGCCTCCCCAAGGGAGCTGTTCCTGGACCACAAGGCAGTCTTCAGCCAGTGCCCAGCCCTGCAGACCTCCTCTCCTTATAAGCAGGCTGGCCCCAGCCCTAAAACCCAGGCCAGGCAGGACTCCCAAGGGCAGAAGGCTGAGCCTGTGCAAGCCTCACCAGAAGCCCGTGCCCACGCCCCCAAGCCCAAGGCTGCAGAACCACCTGACTGCCTCTGCTCCTCAGCCAGCACCCTGGAGGGGCTCAGCGTCTCTGACGAGACCTGCCTAAGCACCTCTGAGCCCAGTGCCCGTGTGCCAGATTCCACGGGTGCCTCTCCAGAGGACCCAGGTGAAACTGAGCAGTCAGTATCCGAGCGGGGCCAGCTGAATGGGAAGCGGGACACCCTGTGGCTGGCGCTGAAGGAGACTGTGTACGACCCATCATTGCCTGCCTCTCACCAGAGCAGCTCGTCCTGGAAGGGCCGTGGGGGGCCTGGGGATGGCAGCCCCGTGGTTCTGCCCAACAGCCAGCCAGATCTGCCAGACGTTTGGCTGCGCAGGCCCAGCACCCACACTTCAGGCTACAGTAGTTGAGGGAAGCCCAGGGAGGCTGGGCCAGGGTACAGAGCCTGTCAGGGATGGCGAGGCAGGGGCAGCATCAGGCTGGAGCCTGATGGTGTTTCCCCATGTCAGCATGGAAAGGTCTCACCCTCCAGCTGTGGATTTTAAACCCTGCCAGATGTTCCATCCTTGGCCTGGGCTGCTGCTTACACCCCACATCTGGAGGATTCAGTAGGGAAAGTCTTTGGTGGGAAATGCCAAGCTCTCCCTGTGACCTGCTGAAAGTTCCTGTGCCCCCACAGTGCCAGCCAGGACCCACCTGGCGCAGAAGAGTCCTGAGGAATCTCAGCAGCCCCTTGGGCCTCCCACCTTTCAGGGGCTCTTTATCAGGATACTTCCTTCTCTTTGAGGAGCTTCATTGTGCCAGAATTGGGCAGGGGGCCTGTGTCCTGAACTGCCCTGCCCACCTCACATCTCCCAGCCTGACCGGAAGTTCATCAAGGCCAGAGATGGAAGGAGCGGGAGGAGCAGGAGGAGGCCGCCTGCTCAGCTGCGGAGCATCCCTATGATACTGCAGGCTGGTCCCTCATAGGAAGCTGCTGTGGCAGGGAAGGGTGGTCTCTGCTGTTAACAGAGTCCTTTCCATCCCTGCCTCTTTCAGTTTACAGAACACTTCTGTTCCTGTTGTCTCCTTGGAATCTCACTTCACTATGGCGTAGCCTGCAGTTGGCCAGGTCCTTCTGCCCCCAGTTTACAGGTAAAGACATTGAAACTAAACAAAGTGATTTGCCCGAAGTCACAGAGCTAATAAATGGCAGAGCAGGTTTCCACACTCACTCTACCTCTGCAGCTCCCACTCTCCTCCTGGTGGTCACCTGCCCCAAGGACGTTGGTCTGTGGCTGTCCTTATCTTTTGCCTCTAGCACCCTCCCATGACCCGCCTTCTCAAATGTCTCTGAGTAAGCTCCCCTCCCGCCTCCTTTTAAAAGGCCTGCATCTCCAGAGAGAGAGCTACACCCTGAACAAGCCTGGAGTTCCTCCCCATCAGTTGGCTGAGATGCCTACTGGGCGCTGAGATGCCTACTGGCCGCGGGGTGTCCTGGCTCTCCTGATCTCCAGGTCCAGAGTCTGTGACAAGCCTCTTCCATGGCCCCAGTGTGTGGAGAGCCCCTGCCGGGAGAGACACTGAGGGCAGTAGATGTGAAGCAGAGTTCCTTTAAGGCAAGACCTCAGGGCTGTCCTTGCTGGGACTACGTGGATCTGAAGCTATTTGCCAGGTAGGGTCCCCAGCTTCCTAAGGACAGGTCTCTCTGGTGGCCACCAGCAGACCAAAGGGTGGTTCCTCCCCTCTAAAGCAACGAGTCTCTCTGGAAGGCTTTATCACATGTAAGAGCTCACGACACTCCGAGCAACAGCGAGCTTGCTGAACACCCACTCCGCACACGACACTCCAAGGAGGCAGAGGCACGGGAGGAAACAGTAGCTTCCCTCAAGGAGCTCACACTGTAACGGGGAAAACAGTTCACACGCCCATGCAGGCATCAGTGGGTCTCTGAGGGACATATGCCTGTCACCATCAGTATCGCTGGAGCTCCAGTACCCAAGACTGGGTAACCAGGAGAGCTTTCTGGAAGATTTGCTTGAGCTGGGCTTCAGAAGTCTAAGTATCTCAGACTAGAAGGAACTTCAATGATCATCCATCCAGAAGTTTTCAAACTCTGTAGCCTCAGGACCCCTTCTTCAAAGAACTCTTGTGTGGGAACACAGTATATAAAACAGACACAGAGCAGCCACTCCAGGGGGTGCCAGGTGGGAGCAAACAGAGCCGGCTCACCTCCCCTTCCACCGCACTTCTCTGGGAGCCCGGGAGCCGTCCAACTCCTGAAGGCTCCGCCGAGTTTGGTGCGGAAACTGATTCAGGCCATTTGACAGATGAATGTCACAAAAGAGAAGGGAGTTTTCTAGGAAGAGTCTATGGCAGAGCTGGAGACAAATCAAGGAGTGGTTTGTTTTGTTTTGTTTCTGTATTGTTGAGACTCGCCTCCCGCACCAAGTCTCCCAGGGACAGAAACCCCAGTGAGACACTGGAGTTGTGGAAGACACAGATGACCATGGGCAGAATGACAGGACCCTTTACTCTGCGAGACAAATAAATCAAACCCATTCGACTCCTAGGAAAGGAGGCAGTGACTAAGATGTCACCTGGATCTCTTTCCCTGTCTCAGCCTCCCTGGTCTAGGGCTGCTCATCAGGGTCCTGCCTTCTCTGCACCGAAGACTGGGTCCTCTGTTAGCACACAGCCAGGCCGTGAGAGCCCTGGTCTCACCTGGGACAATCAGCCCTCTAGAGGGAGGACAGGTGAGCTCTTCCTTTCAAGCATGAGCAGAAGTCTGGCCTTGACTCAAAAGAGAGTCCAGCATCTGAGTTGCTTCTCAACAGCTCACCGAGGCCCTTTTGCCCCAGGTTGTGGGAGGGCAGCAGGGACCTGGACCCAAAAGACCTGCTCCTCCACACCCTTCTTCGTGTCTTACAAAGGAAAACATTGGTGTCTGGGACTGGAGCTTCAAAAACCTTGCCTGAGCACAACCGCTGAAATGTTAGAGCATGGGGCGGAGGGTCACAGGGGGTTGGGCACGCCTGAGGACGCCATCAGGGACTCCCGGGTCTCAGTCTTGCAGGCCACGGCCGTAAAACCCTATAGGAGGGCAGATGTGCCAGAGCCGTCAAGGTGCTGACTAGATTTGCCCTTTACTGCTCCAGGCCCCAAGGACTGGAAAACCAGGGGCAATCAAACACTTCACCTTGCAATGAGAATGGCCCACAGTGACAGCAGTCGCCCTGCTTCAGTGAGTAACCCAGCCCACCTCTCCAGCCCCAATTTTGGAAGGCAGGACTTAGCACTTTCAATTTCCTTTGACTTTAGCAGATCTATTCTCTTCATTATCATTGTGGGTGGTCACAGTGAGTGTGTGGCCCTGGACACCTGTGGGGAGAGGCTTAGAAGCGTGCCATGAGGCAGGGAAACCAGTCGAAGCATTTATGTTTGCTCTGGAAAATCCAAGAAATGGTTTCTTAGCTAGCACTGAGATGCTTTACAATAGAACTATGTCATTTGGGACTTGAGTATCTCTCCTATTGGTGCCACAGATGCTTGAACTCACGCTCAGAGTATGTGGGCTGTGTTTTTAAAATGTAACTTGGTAACATTTGTGACAACGGGAAAGCCCATCCTTCCATGGCTGTGGCACTTTGATGATGATGGTGGTGGACACGGATTGATGTGACTGGCCAAATGTTAGATTTTACTGGCACACGGCGTATCCCATACCATGACATCTAGTCAATATCCCAGCCTGAGCCTGATTTTGAAAGAGACAGCTTCTAATTCTCCTAAGAGATTTAGAAGCCAAACTTCCTCAACCCCCTCCAACTCATTTCATTCTCCCAGTGCACAACAGGGCAGGGAGACAGCTGAGGGGTGTCGGGAAGGAGGATAATACATTGATTTGTTGTATGACCTTCACTCACTGTCCAGAGAGTTTCTGATCTTTTCTGCCACGGTGGCCTCATCTCAGCCTTTGATAACACACACGGGCAATGACAGGCTCCCTGGCATCCCAGGCCACTCGTCAAGATCCTATTTGCTTGGTAACAGCAAAAACAGACATTCCTCACCCTTTCTACCCTCACCCTTGTTCCCAGGGGCGACGGTAACTCAAGGTCTGGAGGTGTTTATGCTTAAGGGAAGAAACTGTAACACAATTAACTGGGAAGATTAACTGGAAACAGAAGGAAGCCGTTCCGTGCCGTGTGAATGACTAGCAGTCCAAAGCTGCCCTGTGCTGAGGAGCCCTGGAAGGACCTTGATAAACTTATAATTATTACCAGGCCTCTGTGTGATTATTCACAGTGTCTCTCAATAGAGGGGAAAGATCAGCATCTTGTCAACTTTGCAAACATCGAACAGGAGCTTTAGTGTTGCTAAAGAAAATCAGACAGTTGGGCAGAGTGATGTAGGTCTGAATTGATGACCACCAACCTCCAACTGACCCCTCAGCTAGTCCCTGCCTCACTAGTTTCCATTCTAATTACTAGTGTCCATTCTTTGTAAGGACCATTTCATACTTTCTCTACCTTCCTCAGGTATCTGATACCCACCTCCACCTTCCACAACCCCACTGTCCATGGACAGCCCATTCTTCGTAAAGAAAACTGGAAATGCACTCACCTTCAAGCCTCCAAGTCCCCAACTTACCCATCTCTGCCCCTGCCCGCTTCTCTCCCCATCCCCTCCATTACAACAAAGGACACAGTAATTGTTCCATCTATGGCTTCACACATGGCACCAGCGGCCTTCAAACAGGGCTTGCATTTCCACAGGAACATGAAGACTTTCTAAAAGGCACGTGGACACAGTTGTAAGGGAATCAACTTCCAGAGCTGCTGCTTTCATGCTTCCTTTCTTTGTATTGATCAGCCTAAGAAGGAGCCTTGGGTCAGTCCGTTCTTCTCTGTCTCCTCTTTCCCAGCTGACCCCCTCCTTCATGTTGAATCCTGCTCTGGGAGCTCACTCTGCAGTATTAGAGTAAAAAGGCGGGGCTACTTGAGAATGCTCTCCTTGAGGAAGTCCTTGAGAAAGCAAAGTCTAGAGAGCTTCTATGAGAATTTTCGAAGGGGGCAACTCTATAACTCAGTTCTGTGCCTTCTTCATTTACTTTGAATTATTTCCATTGAAAAACAAAATTAAAAACAAAAAAATAAATTTTAAAAAATCAGGCTTTTTCTAATAGAAAGTCAGCCTGATCTGGCTGATGGGTTTGACGTAGAGGACTGGCTTTGCAAACAGGACACGTGGTGGATATCTTTCAAAGGTGGACTCATTTAAATCTAAAGCTTCATAGTTTGAACAAAATAGATTTAAAGTACATATACAACTTTCCCTTCTAGCCAAGATGAAGTAGCAGGAACCAGATTTACCCTCTTTCCTGAAACAACAACTAAACAGGAAAAAAATCTATGAAACACAGTTTTCACAACACTGGATACCAGACAACAAAGCACAGTGATCCCTGATGTACAAGACACCCATGAGGTGGGCCCTGTAATTGTGCAGCTGACTGCTGGAGAGGGTTTCCAGTATCCATTGCAGGGAGGGAGAACCCAGGCAGGCCCATGCAGACTTCCTGAGCTGAGGAGACAGCACAGCATTTGGGGCAACCAAGGGAGCTAGAGTGCTCAGGACAGGACACTAGATAGGAGGAAGGTACACAGAGAGAGAGAGTTCTGGAGATCTGAAAAGGAACCCCCTCGAGTATTCTTTAGAGCACTGCTCATCATAAAATTGTGAGGAAGCCACTTGAGACCAAGGAAAGAACCACCCAAAATGATCAGAGGGAACAGTAGCCACGAGTCACAGAGGGCTGGAACACTGCCTATTCCCATTAGCCACACTGGAAAGCCTCATAACTTATGGAGCATTGGTTAGAATTTTCAAAACATGTGTGGCTCAGTAGTGGGAACTCGTTAGCCCTGGTTTAAATACTGATTGTTCCCACCTAACGAATCTTTAAAGCAAAACCTGAAGGGATCAGATTGTTTCTAAGTGATGTAACTGCACTCCAGAACAACCCTTCAGAATATTTACTGGGATACAAAAAATAATCAGTGCCCAGAAACATAAAATTCACTATGTCCAGAGTCTAATAAAAAATTACCAGTCATGCAACGAAGCAGAAAAAATGACCTATATTGAGGAGGAAAATCAACTGACCAACCTAGAACTGATACTGATTACCTGATAAGGACATCAAAACAGTTATTGTAACTATTCCAAATGTTAACATAGCTAAGTAGAAACTTGGGAGATATTTTTAAAATACCCGAATTGAACGTGGAGAGATGCAAACTAAAATGTCTGAGATGAAAAACTACTGAACCAAGCCCTGGCTGGCGTAGCTCAGTGGATTGAGCACGGGCTGCGAACCAAAGTGTCACAGGTTTGATTCCCAGTCAGGGTACATGCCTGGGTTGCAGGCCATGACCCCCAGCAACCACACATTGATGTTTCTCTCTCTTTCTCTCTTTCTCCCTCCCTTCCCTCTCTAAAAATAAATAAATAAAAATCTTTTTTTTAAAAAAAACTACTGAATTAGAATTAACCATAGTTTAGACATTTAAGAAAAAAAGAATTTTAGAAATGAATAAAGATCATGCATAATATATAGTAGGTAGAAAGCATATATTCTTTACAAATAATTTATGAAAACATTTAGTCACCAACTAAAAATGGGGGAGAAGGTACATAGTTTTTGTTTCGTTATTTTGTGGGGTTTCATGAACAAAAGAATTCAAAGATGCTGCTCTAGATCCCACCTTCTTCCCTCTTTCTCTATGACTTTGCTTCTTTCCTCATCCCCTCTCCTCTCTGAAGCATCCCTTTTTTCCTCTCAGCTGGCTCATTCTCATCAGCACGTGCACCACCCAGTACCTGCACCTTCAGGGTACGCCCCTCAACCCACTTCCAGTTACCTCCCGGTGGCTCTACTCCATTCACAAACTTCAAATCCATGCCTGCCATCTCTCTCTTCCTCCTCTCTCATACACTCTTCAACCTGTTCCAACATGGTTTCCACTCAAACTTCCCCATGAGAATTTCTCTTCCTATACTTATCAATGACTTCTTTGTTGCTAAGTTTCAAGGATCCTTGTTATTTCTCACCTCACTTGCCCTTTTAGTTATTTTCAATAGTTTGCCAATCCCTCCTTCAGCAGTTTACTACTACTTCCTTCTTAGCTTCTAAAATATCACCCTCTTTTTGTTTTCTTCTCACTTCTCTGGCACCTCTTTATCGTGTTTCTTGCCTGGCACCTTCTTACTGCAACTTCTAAACACGGCTGTCCCTGTCCTGGCCCTAAGTCTCTTGGTACACTTCTTCCCTTGGTGATCTCCTCCAAGGTCTGGTTTTAAATGCATCCATATACCCGTAATTCCCAAAAGTGTATCTCCAACCTAGACTTTCCTCTGGGCTCAAAGCCTGTATTTCCAACTGCCTACTTGACACTTTAAACACCTGAATGTCTCAGAGGCATTTCACGTTTACCATGTTCAAAACTTAACTCTTACCCCCACCCCCCACAAAATTGTGACTCTATCCACATAATTATTCAAGCCAAGGACTCATCCTGAAACCAGGAAAATTGTCCCCACAGGCTCCACTGCCCGCCACCACAAAAGCCAAACTTGTGAGACAGGAGTTGGTGCGGAAGACAGTGGTTGATTTTAAATGCTGGCAACCTAAGGAGGTGGCAGGCTCATGCCTCCAAAACCATCTCAACATCTCTGGTCAAGCCAGTGGTTCTTATAGTGAGTTGGTAGGAATTCAGAAGGGGGAGAATTCCAAAGGATGGAATGCAGACATGCAGTTTCTCTTGAGAAAGGGAACTGGGAGTGAGGGGAGGGGGAATGAAGTGGAATCATGCAGTTCTTGCTTGGGCTCATTTTTCTGTTTCTGATGTTATCTTGTGACATAGTTAAGCTCAACATCTGTGGTCCATTGCTTCATTGTCAGTGTCAGCACCCCTCATTCCAGGAACGAGTTATTAGGCTGTGACAAGAACTTAGCAAATGGGAATGAAAACACAGAACAGAGTTGATTAAAAGCACAGGGTTAATTATACTCTTTGATTTGTTACAGAATGCACATCTTTGATCACTAAACTAGTAATATTAAATCATGGTTACAGTCCTTAAGATCTACCTCTCCCTTATCCCCACCCCCATCCTCCTTCCAATCTAGCACTGAGTTCTGAGATTCAACCTCCAAAATTTGTCGTAAATGTATTTGATTGTCTCTTCATTTCCACGCACACCACAACCATCCTGGCTGAGCCACCATCTTCTCTCACTTGTATGATTGCAGTAGCTTCCCAATTGTCTCCTAGTTCCACTCTTGCCCCCTTCAATCCATTCTCTAGGTAGCTAGAATGAGCTTTTAAAAATATAACTTCAAGAAGTCTTCTTCTCTAATACTTCAATGACTTCCCATTATTTTTCCTTGGACCTACAAAGGCTGCCATTCTTGTAGCATTAACTGTACCACTCTCCTCCCATCTTCCAGTCCCCACCTAGGGGAAAAGCCCCTTCCTGCCTCAGGATTTCGCATTTCTGCCCCCTCCCGCATTGTCCTCCCCCATCGTTCATCTGATTGACTCTCACTTATCCTCATCATCCTTACTCACTTTTCCTTATCATCCTTACATACTTATCCTTATCATCCTTACATTGGTGACTCCCCATTTTAAGACTTTATTTATTTATAGAAAGTGGAAGGGAAGGAGAAAGAGAGGGAAAGAAACAACAGTGTGTGGTTGCCTGTCATGCGCCTCTCATCGGGGGACCTGGCCCACAACTCAGGCCTGTGCCGTGACTGGGAATCGGACCAGCGACCATAGTCGGCGCTCAGTCCACTGAGCCACACCAGCCAGGGCCCTGACTCCCCAGTTTAAACTTGCTTTCCCTGCTTTTCTCCCTCATAGCACATTGTACTTGTCTTTCATAGTTTTACTACAGTGGTAAATATATATTTATTTGGCAATTATCGAGCTTGAGATATAATTAGCAAGTTCATATGATTATTTATTTACTGTTTCCTAGATTGTAAACACCAGGAGAGTGGAACCAAGGTCAGTCTTGATATTTGCTGCCCTGCCCCTCTGACCCCCACCAGCCCACTTAGAATAGTGACCAGGCACATAGAGCTCAATATTTGTTGAGTGAAATGAATGAGTGCACTGTTTCAGAACTCTGCCCCGATCACCAAGAGCAGCTTTGAATCTCTGCTTCAAATCTGGATAACTGCTATTAGAGTTAGAATAGGGGTACATGTTTCAGGTATTTCAGCCCACAGACCCTCTTACCTATGACTCCCCACAACGTAAAGTGTAGTTTTACGCCCATTGAAATACTCTTTGCAGTCCACGGCCATACGACCCTGAACGCACCCGATCTCGTCTGAAATACTCTTTGAGCTCGGCAATCAGGCATCATACAATATCCCTGACAATCACAGACCAAACAGAGAAGGATTGTGACATGGACTCTAAACGTGGCTGCGTTTTGCGTCCCAAGCCAAAAAGTGCCGTCAGTGGCTCATAGCTCCATTCACGTCCGCAATCTGCACCACTTCCCTTCCCAGCCAAGACCCGCGGGCTCCAACACCCACCGCAGGGAAGTTCAGCTCCGGCTTGGGCTCCAACCTTCCGTACCGCATGGCAGCCCCCCAAGGAGTCCCTCAAGACAGTGCGGTCCGTACAACATGGCCGCCTACATGGCGCGAGCCGCAGCCCCTCCCACCGGGCCACCGGAAGTTTCCGTTTGAAACCCAGGCTGCAGATCTACTTGGTAGTGCGGAGGTTGCCGCGGAGCGCGTTTTGAATTCTAACGACGAGAGTTGCGAGCCGGAGCAACAGGCACCTGGGTTCGGCTCTCCCGGGGCATGGGACTGGGCTGATGGGGGCGGAGGGGTTGGGCTGGGAATGGAATTTCCCCCTACAGCTCCCGCTGATTCAGAACGACGAGAGTTACGAGCCGGGGCTGGCTGAGTCGCGCGCTCTTCCTGGCCCCTCCACCTGCTTGGGAGCCCCCAGGCCCACCACGGGGTAACATTCACCTTTCACCTTCCAGGGCGCAGCCTTGCCACCTCGTCAGGATGACCAGCGGGGTTAAGACAACGTACACACTGCAGCCCACCTCAGGGCTGAGCGGCGGCCCGCCCGCAGGTGGGTGCGCACACGGCCCCCGGGAGAGGACGGAAGAGCAAATCTGTGGCCCGGAGTAGGGAGCGCGGAGTGGGTGCGGGGGTGGGGGCGGTGGGGAGGGCATTCGGTCGACGCTAACTACCTGCTGATTCCCGTAGACTCCGGCTGTCTAGGTTTAAGATGGGAGTTAGGAGAAGAGGGCCTTGCGGTAGGATTTTAGACCTGCCCTGCACCCCTGCTTCCCCAAACCTAACCATGCTGCATTACCAATTAGATTTAAGCTGCTGATTGCCCTACAATCTTATTCCCATTAATTTAGGAATCCCTTTGTAAACAATTACCCATTTTATTTCCAAACCTGCGCTATCTGGAGGAACTGGGTCTGTTGTCGTGGGGAGAAAGGAGAATCATTTAAGAAGCTAAATACTTAGAGGGAAGCAGTAGAATTCTCCACCGTGTCTGGTTCACATTTGTCTCTCATATAGTACATTCTCAGTAAACATTTGTTCAGGGAAGTGAGGGAGAGGGGTCAAGCTTAGCTAGAGCATTCAAGAAACTTGGGAGAAGAGACATGATTAAAATTTTTTTATTGTTTTGCCATCTTGCTTTATATTACTTGTCTTGTGGTTTAAAGCCATCGCCTAGGGTCTGCAGGTGTCCATCTGCCTAATCTAGAGGCTTTAGCACAGAATAAGCTTCAAACATCAGAACCAGTTGTGAGAGATTTTGAAGCAGTTGTTTAAGATCCCTTAGCAGTCACACCATCAGCTGGTTGAGGAGCAGTAGCAGGATTGATCTGTGAAGTAAGTAGGCTTTTCTCCAAAGGCTTAAAGGGTTGCCCTACTTGTCTTACGTTGCCTCAGAACACCTGGATGGCAATCCTGGCATCAGCAGGGCCTAGCAGTGGCTGGGGGAACCAGAGTCTCTCTGTTTACTCTGCTTGTCCCCTAGAGTGCAGTACCCCTGCCGTCACTGGGGAGTGACTGACTGGCTCTCCCCAGCAAAGTTGAAAGTTTTCAATCTCTGCTTTCTATTCCTGTCCTAGCTTTATGATTATATGTAACCTCAGTAATTTAACATTTTTAGGCAGTCTTCCAGGATTTTTATTTTGATTTTGGGCATGGGCTAGTTGTTTTTTGGTTTTTGTTGTTTTTTTAAGTATATTTTATTGAGTATGTTATTACAGTTGTCCATTTTCCCCCCTTCACTCCCCTCCACCCTGCACACCCTCCCACCCACATTTCCCCCCCTTTAGTTCATGTCCGTATGGGCTGGTTGTTTTTAAGTTTTAGCTTTTTTGTTTGTTTTTATTACAATCATTGGGGTAACATTGGTTAAAACATGAATTTCAGGTATATGACTTTAAAATGCAGGGTCTGGCAGAAGTAACGCCTGCTTGAATGTGGTTGGTAGGTTAATGTGAGTATAATATTTATAGTTTTAATTTAAACATTTCACCTAAAATGTTGTATGGTGTGCTTGAGTGTGATATTGTTACGTTACAGAATATCATGCTTATGATTTTATAATAAAAAGATTTGTAATAAAAAAGGAGCATTCTTGTGCTGGCCCCTGTATAATATCTGTATGCTTTATTGTGTGTTCAACACCTGAAGTCTAGTCTCCTGTCGCCACATACTTGACCTCCTTCCACTCTGGTAACCTCCATTCTGTTGTCTGTATTGATGAGTTTGTTTTTTGTTTGTTTCGTTTATGTTTGTTGCTTTTTGTTTTATATCCCAAATATGCGTGAAATCACATGGTTACCCTTTTCCATTTCACTTATGTCATTGCATAATACTCCCGAGATTCATCCATATTGTCATAAGTGGAAATAGTTCTTTTTAATGGCTGGATAGTATTCAGTTGTGTGTATGTACCACATCTTGTTTTTCCAGTCATCAGTCAAAGGACACATAGGTTGCTTCAATGTCCTGACTATTGTCAATCATGCTGCAATGAACACAGTGGTACGTATATCTTTACCAATAAGTGTTTTCACATTTTTAAAGCAGATAGCCAGGAGAGGGATTGCTGGGTCATATGGTAGCCCTGTTATTTTTTGAGGAGCCTCCATACTGTTTTCCACAGTGGCTGCATCAATTTACATTCTCCCCAGCAGTGTCCCTGTTCTCCACATCCTCTCCAACACTTGTTATTTCTTGTTGTCTTGACTATATCCCTTCTAACGGGTTTGAGGTGGTGGCATCTCGTTGTGGTTTTGATTTGCATTTTCCTCATAACTAGTGATTTTGAGCATCTTTTCATATATCTGTTGGCTGTATGTAAGTTTCTTGTAAAAATGTTTATTCAGGTCTTCTGCTCGTTTTTAGTATGATTTTTTGTTGTTGAGTTGTGTGAATTTTTATATATTTCATATGTTAACACCTTATCAGAAGTATTATTTGCAAATATCTTGCCTTTTGTTTTGTTAATGGTTTCTTTTGCTATGCAGAGCTTTTTAGTTTGATATAGTCCCATTCCTTTATTTTTGCTTTTACTTCCCTTGCTTTTGGGGTCAAGTTCACAAAAATCTCTCTGAGACCAACATCCATAAGTTCAGTAACTATGTTTCTTTCTATATAGACAAGTCTTTACTCCATTTTGAGTTAGTTTTTGCGTATGGTGTCAGATAGCAGTTTAGTTTCTTTGCATGTGGCTTTCCAGATTCCCAGCAGCATTTACTGAAGAGACGTTCCTTTCTCCATTGCATGTCTTTGGCTCCTTTGTTGAAAATTGGTTGCCCGTATATATGTGAGTTTATTTCTGAGCTCTCAACTCTGTTCCATTGGTCTTTCTGTTTGTTTTTCTGCCAGTACCATGATGTTTTACTTATTGTAGCTTTATAGTTTAGTTTGAAGTCAGGAAGTGTGATACCTCCAGCTTTGTCCATTTTTCTCAGGAGTGCTTTGGCTATTTCAGGATCTTTTGTGATTCCATACAAATTTGAGATTTTTTGTTACATTTCTGTGAAAAAGGCTATTAGGATTTTGATAGTGTTGCATTAAATCTGTATACTGGTTTAGGTAATATGCTCATTTTTAACAATGTTAATTGTTCTAACCCACGAACATGGATGGAATATCTCCATTTCTTTATGTCTTCTTCAATTTCTTTCAACAGTGTCTTGTAGTTTACAGTGTACAGGTTGTTTACTATCTTTGTGAACTCTATTCCTAGGAGTTTTATTCTCTTTGTTGCAATTGTAAATGGCATTGTTTTCTTCATTTTTCTTTCTTTTTTTTTTTTGATGTTTTGTTGTTAGTATATAGGAATGCAACAGGTTTTTATCTGTCAGTTTTATATCCTGCAACTTTGCTGTATTTGTTTCTAATACCTTTCTGATGGCATTGTTAGGGTTTTCTATATAGAGTGATGTCATCTGCAAATAGTGACAGTTTTACTTCTTCATTCCCAATTTGGATGCCCTTCCTTCCTTCCTTCCTTTTTTGGTCTAATTGCTCTGCTCTGTCTAGGACTTCCAGAACTATATTGAATAGCAGTGATGAGAGTGGCCATCCTTGTCTTGTTCCTGAGCTTAGAGGAAAAGTTTTCAGTTTCTCACCATTGAGTATGATGTTACCTGAGGGTTTGTCATATATGTCCTTTATTGTGTTGCGGTCCTTTCCTTTCATAAGCATTTTATGGACTGTTTTATTATATATGGATGTTGTAGCTTGTCAAATGCTTCTTCTGTATCTATTGTTATAATCACATTGATTGATTTGTGGGTGTTGAATCATCCTTGCATTCCTGGAATGAGACCCATTTGATCGTGATGTATGATTCTATTAATGTATTGCTGTACTCAATTTGCTGGTATTTTATTTAGGATTTTGCCTGTTTATCAGAGATATTAGCATGTAATTTTCTTTTCTTTTTTTTTTAAGATTTTATTTATTTTTAGAGGGAGGGGAGGGAGGGAGAAAGAAACGGAGGTAAACATCAATGTATAAGAGAAACATTGACTGGTTGCCTCCTACACACCCCTAACAGGGGACCTGGCCAGCAACCCAAACGTGTGCCCTGACTGGGAACTGAGCCAGCGACCTTTTGGTTCGTAGTCTGATGTTCAATCTAGTGCCAGGGCTGTAGTTTTCTTTTGTGTGTGTTCTCCTTGCCCAGTTTTGGTGTCAGGATAATGTTGGCCTCATAAAATGAGTAAGTATCCTCTCTTCAATTTTTTGGAAGAGGTTGAAAAGGATTGGTATTAAATCTTGTTTGCGTGCGTATTTGGTAGAATTCACCAGGGAAGCCATCTGCTCCTGAACTTTTATTTTTTGAGAGTTTTTTAAAAATGACTGTTTCAGTTTCCTTACTAGTGATTCATCTGTTTATGTTTTCCACTTCTTCATGATTCAGTCTAGAAGATTGTATACTTCTAGGAATTGGTCCTTTTCTTCTAGGTTATTGCGTTTGGTGGCATATAGCCTTTCATAACATTCTAGTTTAATCCTTGGTATTTCAGTAGTGACTGTTGTAACTTCCTCTTTAATTTCTGATTTTATTTATTTAAATCTTCCTTTCTCCTTCAGCCAGATGTTTGTCAATTTTGCTTATCTTTTAAAGAACCAACTTTTTATTTTATTGTTTTCTGTTGTCTTTTCTCTATTTCATTTATTGCTGCTCTGATTCTCATTATTTCCTTCCTTCCACTGACTTTGGGCTTTATTTGTTCTTTTTCTAGTTCTTTAAGGTATAATATTAGATCATCTATTTGGGATTTTTCTTGTTTCTTGAAATAGGCCTGTAATGGTCTAACACCCCTCTTAGGGCCACTTTTGCTGCACCCCTAAAATTTTGTTACATCATATCTTGATTTTCATTTAGCTCTATGTATCTGTTAGTCCCTTCTTTTATTTCTTCTGTGACCCAGTGGTTGTTCATAGAATGTTGTTTAATCCCCATGTATTTGTGGCTTTTCTAGCTTTCTTCCTGTAGTTAATTTTCAGTATCATTGTGATCAGAAAATAAGCTTGGTATGATTTCAGTCTTAAATTTATTGAGACTAGTGTTTTTGCCACATGGTCTGCCATATGCCATTTTATCTTTGGTTTTCTGGTTATTTGTGCCTCCATTGAGGCTTTCTTTTTCTTTTTATTTTATTTACTTATTTTTAGAGAGGGGAAGGCAGGGAGAAAGGGAGAGAAACATCAATGTGTGATTGCCTCTCAAGCGCCCCCTACTGGGGACCTGGCCTGCAACCCAAGCATGTGCACTAGCCTGGGAATCTAACCTGCAACCCTTTGGTTCGCAGGCCTGAGCTCAATCCACTGAGCCACACCAGCCAGGGCTCCATCTTTTCTTTTCCCTTGTGATTTTGTCTGCTGTTTTAATATGGTAGTTTTCTCTTCTTTTTTTCCATTCCTTTCCTCTTTTTTTATATTTTGTGCCTCAGGTCTGGATTTTTGTTTTGTGAGTACCGTTAGGTTTGTGTAAAATGTCGCATATATACAATAGTCCTCCTTCTTTTGATTGCCTCATCTTCATTCACCCGTACATATTCAGTCCTTTTTCTCCTCTCCTTTTATGACTTTGTTGTCATAAATTGTCTCTCTTACGTTGTACATTTGTTAACAAATTGCAGTAGTTATAGTTACTTTTAATGCATCTTAGAGGAGAAGGTCTCTTTGCATTGATATAATTAGGTGTTCTGTTAGCTTCTTCTATTCTAAAGTCCACTTCTTCCCATAGGTTTGGGTAGTTCTCTTCAATTATTTCTCTCAGTAGGCTCTCTGTTTCCTTCTCTCTTCTTCTCTGGCATTCCCATTATCCTATGTTGCTCTTTCTTTTCTTTTCTTTTCTTCTCTTTTCTTTTCTTCTCTTTTCTTTTCTTTTCTTTTCTTAAGATTTATTTACTTTTTAGGGAGAGAGGAAGGGAGGGAGAGAAACATCAGTGTGTGAGATACATCAATTGGTTGCTTCTCACACACCTACACCTGGGGGCCTGGCCTGCAAGCCAAGCATGTGCTCTCACTGGGAATCGAACTGGTGACCTTTTGGTTCGCAGACTGATGCTCAGTCCACGGAGCCACACCTGCCAAGGCTATGTTGCTCTTTCTAATGGCAACAGATAGTTTTTATATAGTCCTTTTTTTTTTTTTTTTCCCAACTCTTAGGTCTTTCTGTTCTTCCTCCTGGGTCATTTCTGGGTTCCTGCCTCGAGCTTGCTAATTCTCTCCTCCATCCTGTCCGCTCTATTTCCAGTGCTCTCTAGAGCACTCCTCATCTCACTTACTGGGTTCTAACTCCAGAATTTCTGTTTGGTTCTTTATTATAGTTTAAATTTCTTTGGTAAAGTATTTCTTTTGATTATTAACTTTATTCTTGAACTCAGTGTATTACTTTTCTGAGTTCTCTTGTATCTTATTGAGCTTTTTCATAACTGCGATCTTAAGTTTTCTGTCATTTAAGTCATGATCTTCCATGACTTTGACTTTGGTTTCTGGAGACTTTTCATTTCCTTTCTGTGCTCCTGTGTTATCTGGGTTGTTCATGGTTTTTAATGAATTGCTTCTCTGCCTGCATGTTTGAGGGTGGTGAACTCCTTTCTTGTATATATTCTGTTTTGCTGTCAATAATTCAGTGATTTGATACATAGGGTACTTTCTTTTGATGGTGTCATAATTTTAAGTTTTTGTTTTCTCTTCCTATGCTATTTGTACCTCTGGGATCATAGTTTAGCGGTGTCAGTTCAGTTAAGGAACTGGCACACACCCCCTGGGATGATGGGTGTCCCTCTGTGACTAGATGGCATCCGTTACAGGGCGCTACCACCCATGGCCGGGGAATGTGATTGTGGTTGATGGTGGAGTACTGGTTTTGCCTACTGCCTCCTTTTTTCTGATGGTCCTGGGCCCTACTGCATTTTTGGAGGCCTCTCCACTGGCTCCTCCTGGCTCTGTCAGGATGGGTGGGGCAAGTTCCCCATCTCGTGGCTCTGCCCCTCCCTGTCATCACCGCTGCACTGTTTAAGGTTTCCCAGCCACCTCTGCCAGGGTCCGCTACAATGAGGATGGGGGTAGGGGATGGCTTTTCTCAGGGAAGCACTACCTCTGACCCTCTTACAGCCCTAGTGTGAGGGCTGCAGCCCGCCATCTGCACTGCTGCCAGGCTCACTGGAGTCGTGGTGGGCCGCCAACCTGTACTTCCCCCATCCCGCCTTCCCTACTCGTTGGTGCACCCACCTTCAGGCGTCCCAGGCTGTGGGCCCTGGAGGCGTGCTTGTGTGTTGAGCAGAGGATCCTTTGTTGAGTTATAGTTGTCCGACTTGTAAATTTAGGGGGAGAAACAAAGGAGTCTTCTTACTCTGCCATAATGTTTACATCACTCCAAGTTTTACGTGACTCCAGGATTGTTTTTTGAGTAAGTAACGTGTATATGTAAAAAAAAAAAAAATCCCAAGTTAGGAAATGATATGCAGTGAAAAACAAGTCCCCTCCCCTTTCCTGAACACCAGCCATCCGATTTCCCTCCTAATATCTCTGATTTTAAGAAGACAATCTTCATTAAGTTCTGCGAACTTTTTCCTACAACACATCCTTAGTTTCTAGAAAATACGGATTATTGGAACTAATTACAGTCAGCGAAGAGTGCTAATGTTGACAAATTTACTATTAACACTTTTATACATGGGATAGATTTGTTATTATGTATAACTTATAAATATTTGAGAGAGGAGAAAATAAATGTATTCCCTCAGGGATACCTTTTACTTCAGACAGAGACCTCAGAAAGAATCCTTTTAGTCTTTGTTTTGTGGCTAAGAGTATGGAAAGTAGAGTGTAAGTGCCCAGTGAGTGTACCTGTAAAGGAAATAATGTGTTAACTTGTGAAATGATATTTATTCCAAACTGTTGTATGGTTAGACTCATCAAAATAAAGTCTTTTTCAAATACGAATACAAAATTTCCTAATCCCTGCGATCCAGTGCTTTGTACCTCATTTCTTCAACTTGAGTTTATTCTTATGAGTAAGCTGAAATGAGCCATTTTGCAATGAAAGAAGTAAGTTAGTGTAAACTGGAAAACCATGTGTGTGTGTGGTGGAGAGGACAGGGTGTGCGTAACTCCAGAACAAGTTACTGCTTGAATTTGGTTATGACATGTAAATGGTAGGAAGTCAGTGCGTGGTGGAGGGTAGCATAAGGGGTAGGAGAAAGTCCTCTCCTGGATAAGAACAGTGTTATGGCAGGGCTGTTCCTCTGGCCACCTGGCGATAGCCCAGCAAGAAGATAAGAGTAGAATGCAAATAGGGAACCTCTAAACTTAATGATGTACAAAGAAATTAAAAGGGCTGGCAGTAAAGGTATCAGCATGCAACAGGGAAAGAAGACAAAAGATTATTTAGAGGTGGTCTTTGAAACCTCTGTTAGTGTGCCCCCAGGCACTCTCCTGAGCACTGGGACACCAGGACGCATTTCAGAGTACTTAGGGAGACTGTCTGGTCAAAACAATTAAAGTGGTAGTTGAAAGAGAAACTCGGAGCAACTTGAGTGCAGCCTTGGGGGAGCATGCAGAGTGCGTACAGGTTTAACAAGATGCTTCAATTCCTCTGGTGGCCGATGAAGCATTCGACTGTGTTTTGCCCTGCTGACGGCCATGCTGCCTCTCATTTAGCTCTTTGCTGGCGTCAACTTTCACTTTATACCCTGTGGCCATTCCGTGTGATATGTCATCAAGCTCTTGGCTCCCCTTAAACACCGCATTATCACATTTAAAGAATTTTGGTTTCTATTCCACATTAGTCTAGAATTCTTATTTTTCTGAATTAATCTTCACAAATTGAGATGGGCCGGGAGGAAATACAGGTTTCTGACAGCTTAGACTGGAGCTCTGTGTGTCACAGAGTGGCACCTGTTGGGTCCTGATACTTGAGGTTTCACCTTCCTGTTTTCCTTTGCAGACACACAAATTCGAGCTACTTCTAAGAGCTTATTACCTGTTAAGTCTAAAGAAGTCGATGTTTCCAGAATTCTTCATCCAGGAGTTTCAGAGAATGATATTATGAAAATCATCAAACCGAGACGAGATGGGTGGGTCAGATCATTGGTATCCAGTTAGAACATCTTGCTAGAAATTGCTCAGTACCAAGAATCAGAAAATAGAGTTTTCAGGAGCAAGAGACACCTGCACAGTTGGCCTGTGGTCAGTGAGTGACCCAGAGTGGGGCAGCATTGCTGAGCTGTCTGTCAGGGCCCTTTATGTCGGTCAGTTCTGAAGAGACACAGCAAGGGTTATCATAAGAGATATTTTTCCTCTCACCACTCGCTCCGAATGTACGGATGGCATCCCTGTGGTCGCCCACCAGCCCTAGAGGGCAGTCATGGTGGGTGGGCACTAGCCGACAGCCTCTGTTGCTGGTCTGAGCACAGTCCGGCCCAGTGTGTGTGTGTCCCTCCGCCCGCGCTCAGTCCCCCGTAAGGGAGGTAGACATGAGGTAGCCACTCCATTTTGAGCAAGAGGGGAGTTCATTCTCTATTAATAAGCCTTTTTCAATAATCTGGGCTGAAGCAAAAGTGCGTGGGCCCTCAGTTTATTGACCTTGTGCTAGTTGCATTGTATGTACACAGTGAGAATCATGATGTGTTGTTATGTGTTGTGAACAAAGCAGAACAAAGAGCCTGATCTTGAAACATTGCTCCCTTTGCTTTTTTTTTTTTAAGGTATAATTGACTACAGTATGATAGTTTGAAGTGTACAATATAATGATTTGATATGTGTATATATTGCAAAATGTTCACCACAGTAAGTCAATGGCCTGAGTCCTTTCTCTTTGCTTCTCTAGGCAGGTAAAAGCTGCAGATACTGCCATCAAGAGGAACGTCAAAAAGAGGTGAACATCAGCCCTGGCTGCTGTGGCTCAGTGGATTGAGCGCCAGCCTGCGAACCAAAGAGTGGAAGGGTCACAAGGGTTGTGGGTCCGATTCCCAGTCAGGGCACATGCCTGTGTTGCAAGCCAGGTCTCGGTTGGGGGTATGTGAGAGGCAAACACACAATGATGTTTCTCTTCCTTTCTTTCTCCCTCCCTTCCCCTCTCTCTAAAAATAAGCAAGTACTTTAAAAGAGAGAGGTGAATATTAGTGTATAGGAAGGTTGGATTGGGCCCACTTTAGTGGATCTCAGCCCTGGTTGTACAGGATTTATTGGGACTTGTTTAATGTGTTGCAGTCTGGGTTGCCACCCCAGAAATCTGAATGGAATTGTCAAGGGTGAGGCACAGCCAGATTTGAGAAACACTATCAGGGCAAGATGCTACTATCTTCAGGGCCAATCAAGAGCTTTTGGGGCTCCATGCCAGGACCACTGCGGATTGGAAATCAAACCCAGCTATGACCTATCAGCAGGAATGTGAAGCCTTCAAGATAGGAGGGGCTATATGTAGTTAGTGATTTTGAGATGGCGTTTCTGATGGTGCTGCTGCTGGGGCTGGTGAAGCCTAAATCCAGGAGAAGGAGCCATCTTTCTCTCTTTGAGGCTAGTTTGGACATTTTGCAAACCTGAAGACAAATAATATAAGCTGTAAAGCCTGTAGAAACAAGTTCTAATTCCAAATCTGGGCATGTCTTAAATGTTCTGAAAACAAAATACTATTAAGAAGAACTCTGAGCCCTGGCTGGTGTGGCTCAGTAGATTGGGTGCTGGCCTGCAAACCAAAGGGTTGCCAGTTCGATTCCCATTCAGGTCACATGCCTGGGTTGTGGGCCAGGTCCTCAGTAGGGGGCGCATGAGAGGCAACCACACATTGATATTTCTGTCCCTTTCTCCCTTCCCCGCTGTCTAAAAATAAAATCTTAAACACTCTTAGAAATTTGAAAAGAACATTTAATGGTGATAATGGCTATTATTTATTGTTTACTATGTGTCAGTAGCTGTGCTGAAAATAGTACTTGTATTCTCTCTCGTATTCTTCACAATAATAATAATAATATGAGATGTATTATCCTAATTCTAGAAATGAGGAAACAGGGCCTCCGAGAGGTTGTGCAATTCACCGAAGGTGATAGAGCACTATGTAATGAAGCCAGAATTCGAACCCTTGTTTGTGAGGCTGCATAGTCCGTACATACTCTTAATCCCTGCACTACTTCATACATTCATTAAGTACAATTATTACAGCTACAAACCATTAAGTAAGCAGAAATCAGAGGAAGAACTCAAGGATAAGAACCAGCTATTAGAGGCCGTCAACAAGCAGTTGCACCAGAAATTGACTGAAACTCAGGTAAGAGACCACCAGACCTCTGCTGTCAGCTGCACTGAGTGATGCATGTGGCATCCTGAGGAACAGCCCCTCGGGTGGGACCAGGCTTGCAGTGCCTAGGCACCCGAGGACCAGCAACAGGCTTGTTCTTTGACTGAGAGCAAGGGCAGTAAAGGCCGCCCCTGAGGGATGGAATGGGACAGGCCTGATCTCTGCTTGGCGCCCCACTAGGGAGAACTGAAGGACCTGACCCAAAAGGTGGAGCTGCTGGAGAAGTTTCAGGACAACTGTTTGGCAATTTTGGAGAGCAAGGGCCTCAATCCAGGTAAGACACAGCACCCAGTGGCCTTCAAGGGAATCAGTGCACAAGCCTTCTCCCGGAATGGTGCTGGCCTGTGGGTGAAGGATCCAGCATGGCCGCAGCTGGCCTCAGCAGCACAGGGGTTCGGAGCTCCTCTTTGTTCCCTTGTGACGCTGACTGCGCCTGACCAACCATCTCAGATGGCCGTGGAGAGGGAATTATTACCACCTTCTTATCTTAACACTTGATGCGATTCATTCAGTACCCAAAGATATGACTTTGCAAATTAGACCAGAAATATTTCATTTCTTTTGAGAGCGGTAGCATATGGGTAACTGTCCCAGGTGGGAAGAGAGAGAGGTGATATTGTAATACCTGGCTAATCAGCAGGATCACAGTGGTTAAGATGTGATTTCTGCTCTGACCTCGTCCCTGGAGAACAGTCTGATAAAGAAGAGAATACAGGAGTTGCCCCAGTACGTAACAGGGCCTCAGGCTGAGCTGCAAAGCCTGAGAACGCCCTGGGTGGGGCCCTGGCCTTCTTTGCATTAAGGAGTGCTAACTTGGCTACTGGTTAACCTGTGCATTTTTAGGATATATTCTTTATAGTTACCATATATGGTTTTACATTATTTTAATTTACTGTGTGTATGCACTACTTTTGCCAAAAATAATAATAACATTTAAGGCCTGAAAAGCTTTTAAAAATAGTGTGTTTTATGCATTTCCTTTTGAAAAATTTTTTGCTGAGGAGAAAGCAGAATGAATTTTTGGCCATATCCAGAAAGGAGGGAGGTAAAATACATATATCTCTCTGGAGGCAGGTGTGGGCTGCACTGCCTAGGTGCACACTCGGGGGAGTCAGGGAGCAGCTGCCAAGACAAGTTTTCCTCGTGGAAACCCTCGTGCTTGTCCAGGAGGGATTTGATTTGATTTGATTTGATCTTATCTAAGGTACAGTTCCCTAAGCGAGGCTGACTTTGTTGACTCTGTTACTTTTAGACAGTGAAACTGCCGAATCACAGGAAGAATCCAGCACGGACCACGCGGACTCCATGGTGAGGGCACGGGTGTGAGTGGGCAGGGGCCGAGGGGCTGTGGGGCTCTGCAGCTCTGCAGCTCTAAGACCATCTCTGCCGTATGATCAGTAAATCCTCAGATGCAGCCTTTGTTTACCCAGGATAGTGGAAGAAAAGAGTGGTGAATGTGTACTTAAAGTAGCATATTTATCTCACAGGGGACTTTGTACTTACAAACGTGAGTCTGAGTTGAAAGTGTACCACTTTAAAACATCATAGGATAGACCTGTATAGAGAACTATCTGGCTTCTCTATTCTACACTATACCAACTTTCTCTCCTTAAACTTCTTTGCTGAGAACTGTATAATGGAAAGCTTTGGCCTGAATTAAATTTGGCTTCTTTTTGGTTTCTTCCCTGAATTAAAGGCTTCTGAGCTTCTATAATCTCTTCCCCAAGAAGATCAGTTGTCATCTTAGAATCATAGAATGCCAGATATGGAAACCATTCTCTGCTCTCCCAAGCTCTTAATCTCCCTTTCAGTGCCTACTATGTTTTGTTCGTGTTGCTTATGTAGCGGGGCTCATGTAAGTGGGGTGATCTGCTGTGCCTCCTCAGGACAGAGTCCCTCCACGGTGCTCAGGAGAGAACCCGGTGTGTGTGGGGGGGCGGGGGGCGGGTGGACACTCAGCAAATGATTGAATGACATTAGCAACCATCTAATTCAGCCCTCCTTCCATACAAAGAGATTAATTTATATGAAGAAAATGTTCCCATTTCAGTAAAGATTTGGTACTACATTGTATTTCCTCTTAGTTGCTGTTAGAAACTTTGCAAGGTGAACTGAAGCTTTTTAATGAAACAGCCAAAAAGCAGATGGAGGACTTACAGGTAAGAGGCTGCCATCACCCAAAGGCAGAATGACCATTGCCCGCCACCATGGGAAGATCTTTGGAAGGCTCACTCTTATTTATCTATTTCTTTTTTTATATATTTTATTTAATTTCAGAAAAAGGAAGGAAGAAAGGGAGGGAAACATCAATGTGTAGTTGCCTCTCGCATGCCCCCATTTGGGGGCCCGAAACCCAGGCCTGTGCCCTGACTGAGAATCAAACCAGTGACCCTTTGGTTTGCAGGCCAACACTCAATCCACTGAGCCACCCCAGCCAGGGCTATTTTTTATTTTTAAAAAACTATTTTGTAATCTGGATTTACAGAATAGTTGCAAAGAAAATACAGAGAATTTAGTTCCCATAACATTAACATCTTACATTATCACAACACATTTGTCAAAACTAGGAAACCAACATTGATGTGTTACTATTAACTAAATTCCAAGACTTCATATGATTTCACCTTTTTTTTTTTTCAGCTAATTTTCTGTTCTGAAGACTCTTTAGAATTGTTCATATCTGCAGGGCACGAGATGCTGCGCACCACGCTAGGTTGCTCAGAGTTGAAACCTGTGTGAAATCCATGCCGTGGAAACTTGACACCTCATGGAAACCAGTCACAGGAGACCCAGCTTCTTGGGACTGCTCTGGGTTGCTGGGATGAGTGATGGGATGTGACACTCACCCCAGAGGGTTTTATTGCTCCAGCTTAGATAGAGGCGTCTCTAGCAAAAGGGGGCAGTCCCTAGAACCAGGACAGATAAACCTAATGTTAGTAGACCTGTGGTCTTCAGTGTAAGAGAAGCATAATGTTCCAAAGTTTTGTTTTGTGTTTTCTCTTTTTGATGTCTTTCCAAGCAGGCCTTAAAAGTAAAGTTGAAGATGAAAGAAGAAGAGAGGGCCCAGTTCCTGGAACAGCAGACCGTATGTAACAGTCAAGTAAATGATTTTACAACAGCCCTTGAGGAAATGGAGCACCTATTAGAAATGTGATAAAAAGCAAGTGGCCAGTTGGCTCTCTCTTGGGGATTAACTCTAAGAAGAAGCCACTGAGGACATCTGCTTCTTGGCCATGATCTTCCAGGACTCACCATCCCCATAATGAAAACAGTTTCTGCAGTAGGAGTAACGACAGTTTATGCTGGAATGGCAGTCTCCCCTTTAAGCAAGTGTTCTAAGCTCAGACTGGTCAGCTCCCTGAAGCTGTCATATACATAGTTAAGGTCTACAAGAGGGGTGCCTGGATGCTTGGATCAACTCCTAGACAACAAGGCAACAGACACACTGATAGAATTAGTTGACTAAACTTGCCACAGCCAGAGAATCCAAAAGGTCCCGTTCAGATGCACGGGAAGAAACGCTTAACTGTGCACTGGAACACAGGTGCTCCACAGGAAGTATCACTGATGAGCCATGCACTCCCCTTCTAATTTGGAGCATACTCGGTCCCATCCTGGTTGGGCTCTATACCTCATTGTAAAGTTACTAACTTCAAGTTACTTGAAAAGGCTTATTAGTAAATGGGATGAAAGTATAGATTGCAATAACACCTACTTGTAACAATACACGTTGGAGCATTTAATCTAAATTATTTCTGTTTTTTTATATATAAAAGGAAATATCTATTAGATATTTCTTTTTATATGTAGATATTTTCTTATTCGGATTGCAATATTGAGAAGGGAAAATAGCCTTTTAACCTAAATGTGTTCCCTGACTACTAAGCTAATCTAGGAGTTCACGGTTCCACTTCAATTCAACCCAGAATATTTCTCTTCCACTCATTAATTGCTCCATGCCCACCCCAGCCCGTCTTCCAGGAACACGAGCTCACAAGTTGGTTCTCTGCAGACGTTCCCTATTTGTAGCAGTGGCTGCCAGGCTCTGTCTACCGGGTCTGTGTCCCTGGCTGCGTGTGTTGTCCCTGTGTTCCTAAGCATGAACAGCGTGCCCTGTTCTTTGCTTTGCACAGCCAGTCCTGCCCTGGCTCCATGGATCCTCAATCAGCTGAAGTCCATGGCAGTCCATCCTGACCTGGTTTACCAAAGGCACAGCCGCATTTCATTTCTTAGTCAAACTAGGCAGTCTTTGGCCAGCTCCCCGTTTTTCTGCACCTACTAATTTTTTCACTGAACCCACCTACCATTCAGCATTACTGAGGCTGTCCGGGGCCACCCACCCATGCCAGGTTATGCCCCCACCCTAACCCAAAGGGCTAAAATTCATTGCCTTCACACACAAGCATTCATGCAGTTATGTCCCAAATATTTTGAAGGGGAAATCCAGTTAAATAATTCCCACAAGTGAGAAGGGCTCAACATTTTCTTCTACCCACTTTTAGGATGTTTATAGTTTAAAAGATTGTTTGCCCAAACAAATTTGTAATTGGTATTTCAGGCCAAAATAAAGTTTTGCTTCCTTCTTGGAAGGAGAGGGTGGGAAACTCACTTGTAAGATCCTCACCTCCTTGTCATGCCTCCCTGGGTAACTGGAGAATGTCACGATCTCAGTGTCTGTGGTTGCTCATCTTCCCCCATGTAGAGACCCTGCTCCCTCATGGCCTGGTCACACCAAGGGGCTCTCCCTCCACGGTTCTGCTTTGTACCATCAGCCAGCATTTGTCCGCGCTCTCATCCCCTCTGACCAGTGCTGCTCCTGCCTTTTGTGCGTGAGGTAATGTTCTGGGTGCTTAATCTGATCCGGAGCCTGAAAAATTCATACATACACTTAGCAAATAGTGATCTGCACCTTCCACTTTGCTAGATGCTGTAGGAAACTTTGATGTAGCGTGACATTCTTAATCTCAAAGACGGTGTTCAGTCTATTAGGTGAAACAAAAAATGTGCAGGTCATATAGAAGGTAAATAACAAAGGCACTACTCTACTAACAATGGGTTGTGTGGTATAGTATACGAAGACAGTTAACTGAGGCTTATGGAGGAGGTAGACTGGAAATTGAAGGAAAAGCAACACTTGAAGAGGCTAGCTAGAAAGTTGAGGTCCCTCGAAGCTGGTGAACTCGGAGATTTCAGGAGAGCAGCGTGCTCAGACAGGGCATGGAAACTCCACGCCCTTGACCCCACACCTTTCCCTACACATCTCTTCCATCGGACTGTACCCGAGTTATCTGTTTTTATAATAAACCAATAATCTAATAAAGTATTTTACCGAGTCTTTGAGCCACTCTAGCAAATTAATCAAACCCAAGGAAGGGATCATTGGAAACTCCGGGAGAAAATAAAATCATGAAAGATTGAAAAAAGGGGGTTGGGGAGATACCCAGATGAGTCTCGGGTCACTAAGTACACTGGGCTTGTTCAGAGGACTCAAGATGAGAAGGGATTATGCCTGACGCTTAATTGAACACTTGTAATATCCAAATTCAATGTTCTATGTTCCTCCTCATGTATTACATTCCCATGTAATCCTCATTACAGTCATACCACATAAGTCGTATCACTTATTATTCCTGTTTACAGGTAGGGAAATAGGCTCAGAGAAGTTAAGTTGATTTGCCCAAGGTCAAATAACGAGCAAGTATCAGAGAAAAATTTGAGCCAGGGAGTAATGGGTGGGGTGGAAGATAATGGTGTTACCAGACATTTTGAAGAACCTTGAATGCCAGGCTAAGAAGTGTCGGTTTTATCATTATTAACTGTCTCTGCAGTTTGCTTGCTTTCATTAAGCTCAGAAAAAAGTTCCAGAGCAGAGCGATTCACAAGCACCATCAAGTTGCACATCTACCCTTTGTCACAGAGCAAGAATATACATACTTCAGATCAACTCAAGAAAGATAACTTCACAGAAATACCCTTGTCCATTTATCATGTATCCCAGTGCCTTATGGTCCCCTGTACAATTGCCTAACTCCTAACCCAGTTTCTTTTTATGGTCCAAAAACAAGGAATCAAGTGAGATATCCCTTGAGGGTATTGTTGAAAATATATTAAGCACAGATATATCCCAGATCCCTGTTCTAAATGTTAAAAATATATTAAGCACACAAACATATCCATAAGTATGGTCTATTGAGTTTTTGTTTCCCCCTCTTTGATAATGTCTTCAGTTTCTGCTGAGACCCTTCTCTGTACTCATTTGGTTCTATTGCATTTAACTTCTTTTGATACTCCAGTGGCAAACTATTCTCTTTTACACCCATGGAAAGGGCCTTTTTATACTAGGGTTATTTCCTTTCCTTCCTGAGTGTAAACATTACTTTCTATTGGGGCATATGTTCCTATTAACTAATCCAGAGAATTTAAATTGCTTTTGTTCATTTTCCACGCTACTCACCATACTTCATAGCCAGGACTTTGAAAAATGGTGGCTATACCTCCATGCTAAGTTTCACTTATTTTACCTTTCGAATTGCCAAAGTCAAGCTTAAAATCCTGTAACTGAATAATCATTTGCTTGATAACTCTTCCCCTCATCTCAACTATAAATACAAGCATCTGAACCTCTTTCCCACATTTGAGGAATTTCCTACCTTATGTGTCTAGAGGGCAGAGACTACCAGAGCCAGACTTGCAGTTTTGAACTTTTCAACCCCAGGAGGTGGTTCTCCCAACTTTGCTTGCAGTCAGGGCAAGGGGATGTGGCCACGACTTAGCCAATCGACAAGCTCTGGGGCTTTGAATGGTGCCCACGACAGCAGAAAGTCCACCCTGGTCCCTGGTGGTGGCAGCCACATCTGGGTTTCAGGACCTGCAGGAGTGTCGTGACAGTGGCAGACAGGGTCCACATTTACCAAGTTCAGCAGGGGCGCAGCAGTGGCCGCCTGGGCTGTTTCTGTCTGTGACACTGGCTGTATTACGATTGCCACGCCTCCCTTTTCGCCTGCCTATAACGTCAGCTCTGTGGTCCTTACTTCCCCGTCATTCTGTAAGCTCTGCAGCAGCCTTTCAACACATTCTTTTTCTGCTTAAATCAGCCACTTCCTGTTGCTTGCAACTGAGAACCGTGAGGGGCCAGCCACCCCACCCCCACCCCACGAAGCAGGCTGAGGGGTTTCAGAGGAGGATCGGCTAAGTCAGCAGCCTGCCGCCAGAGGCAAAGTTCAGAAAACTCCACCTCCTGGCCCTACTCCGGTTCGCCACTCCCGCCAGCTCCCTGCAGGGCTGTGAGGAAAGACAGCAGTGAATGACCCCAGCTCAGTGGCTGCTGCGCCCCCGCCTCCGGAATTAGGGGAAAGGAGAGAAGCACAACTTATAATAGCTATTTGAAAAAATAATACACAAATCTAAAAAAAATTCATTGTTCAATAACTACAAGCATCTACTAATGGGATTTTGGGCACTGCCTAATTTCTCAAGCCTTGGAATAAAATTGGACACTACTGCCTCCATTCCCCATTTGACCCTTCAAGAAATGTAGCGTGATCTAATGTTGAAACCGACCTAGTTCAAGTTAGTAGGAAAATAATGAATAAAACATTCCCCAAAATTGCTCCATCGAGCCAATCCCTGCCAGAACCATGGTGATAAACTGTGGCCCAGGAACTACCTTCCCTTCTTTTAAGTTTGTTTTTCAGATCCAAAGCCAACCTACCAACCAGAGACAAACTCAATATCTGGTTGAGAAAGTCCATTCCCGCATTCCCTATAAGTGTTGCACAATCCCAGAATGCTTCACTTTGTGGATATATACCTAGACATCAGTGGTCCAAAAAAGAAGCCTAATAATCTGCTCTCCGATTGCTTAGCCCCAGCACATTCCTCATCCTCAAGTCATAAAAACCCCTGAGCCCCACATCTGTCACTCAGAACCTGAAACCCTGGCTCAGTGTTCTCGCCTTCTGCAGAGCCTCAATAAATCTGCCTTTGCTTTTATCAGTGTCTCTAGTCAATTCTTTTATATAAGAAGAAAGAACCCAAATGTGTTGGTTACAGTAGTTCACATGTCTAACATATCAAGCATCACTGCGATTCCCCCCCAAATTTAAAATGTCCTATGGCATCCCTGTGAGTTTGCTGCCCAAGGGTGCCTTAGCTCACAATCTGGGAACCACAAATCTAGGCAATAAGGCATCACAAACATTTTGAGCAGGCAATCATCGTAACAAATGTTTTAGGAAAATGGGTCTGGCATTGGTGTTAAAGATGGATGGCACTGTTAAAAATTTTTTTTTAAATGGTTCTGGCTGATGTAGCTCAGTGGATTGAGTGTGGGCTGTGAACCAGAGGGCCACCAGTTCAATTCCCACTGAGGGCACATGCCTGGGTTTCAGGCCAGGTCCCCAGTGGGTGGTGCATGAAAGGCAACCACACATAATATTTCTCTCCCTCTCTTTCTCCTTCTCTTCCCCTCTCTCTAAAAATGAATAAATAAAATCTTTTTAAAAATAAAATAATAAAATAAAAACAATGGAGACTAGCCTTGACAATTGCAAGTAGACACAACCAGTTTAGTCATACAACCAGACCTTAATGTAGGTTATTTTACAACACTAACTCACCCTGGGTCATTTCTTGCTTATACCTCAGGAAATCATAAGCAAATCTTGACCCTTTCGCAAAGTTGACATAAGGTAACCACTGAAAGTTCTAATATAACCAGTCGGCTATGAAGAATAAACAGTCAGTGCATTTGTAACCACAGAACCAGCTCACAATGGTTACTGAGTTGATGTTCACAGTCAGCAGACCAAAACTGCAAGTCATGAATCCAAAGCATGAGCAGAGGAGAGAGCTCTGACCTCCGGCAACACCCAGACTAAAGGACTAGAACATGACCAGAATGCGAACACCAAAACCCTTCCAAAGCCACGGGTCTGTTGTGCAGGAAGATTGATACCTAGCACGCTTTAATGCCAAAGGTCTCCAATCAGCACCTGATCCACCAGTTTTTCCGCATACCAGACTGTTCCACCTAACCTCTAAGCCTCAATCTTTGCCTTTAAAAACCCTTGATTAAAAGCCATTGGGGAGTTTGGGTTTTAAGCGATAGCTTTCTGTTCTCCTCGTTTGACTCGCTGCAAGTAAAACAGCTTTAACTTTTCCCCTGCTAACCTTGGTGTTCAGTGTTTGGTCTTGCTGCACCTCAGGCAGGCAGGCTCTTGCTTGGTTTGGTTCAGTAACATTTTCTCACTATATAAGCTGCTTTATAACATTATACCATTACACCTGAGCCTCACATCATGTTCTGGTTTGAGTGCTCCTGGGTTGCACAATGAACTTTGACTCATTACTATTTCGGTGTTACTGTGTTACTGTGGCTATGCCTGAACTTTCAAGAGAACGGAATCAAAGACTTGAGGAGAGCACAGGAATCCCGTGTGTAAGGGTCATGGCAGCAAAGGAGTGAAGCAAGATTTGGAACACAAGGAGATGGCAGGACTTAATTGATAGGATAGGGTGGGGGGTGGGGGAGGATCTACATACATAGAGGTTTTTAGGAAGGGTAACAAAATAATAATCAGATATAAAATTAGGATGTTAAAACGTCAGTTTGCAGCCCACCCTAGCTAAACAAATCTAAATTGAAATCCTAGCCTATACATTGTCCATGAAACTCAAAAATTGAATCTGGAGGCTTTGGCTAGACATAAATGATAAAGATTTATTCAAGGGTGTTAGGTTTGCGAACTAGAAACACAACTAGGCAATACCCAGAATGTTCTGAAGAAGAAATGAAACAAGTAGAATAAAATGTTCCCCAAAGTTGCTCTGAGTCAAGCCCTACCAGAACAAATCCCCACTGAGTCAAGCCCTGCCAGAGTATGGCATTTATCAATAGGCAGCTATGAAATAATGGACCAGGGACTACCCTGACTTCTTTTAAGTTTCTTTTAAGACCTAAAGCCAAGCCACACAAAAAAACTCAATACCTGGTTGGGAAAGTCCCTTCCTGCATCCCACAATAAGTGCTGCACAATCCCAGAATGCTTTGCTTTGCTGACATATGCCCCGACATCTATGTGCCTATACCTGGTCATCAGTGTTTCAAAAAAGGAAAACCTGGCTAACCTACTCCCTGATTGGTTAACCCCAGCAACCTCCATCTTCCCGAGTCATAAAATCCCCGAAGCCCCACGTTCGGTACGCAGATCCCGAGGCCCTGTCTCAGTGTTCTTGCTTCTGCAGAGCCTCAATACATCTGCCTTTGCTTTTACCAGTGTCCCTTGTCTAAATTCTTTATATCCGGAGACAAGAACCCAAACTCATTGGTAAC